TTTTTAAATTCACCCCTAAATTAATGGTGGGAATTGTAGTTAGCTCCTAATTGCTGTCCTTATTAACACCTTAGAGGAAATCAAGATGGTTATTACTTTATGCATCTCACTGGCAAGATTAGCCATGGTCTGACTAGATTAAACATAGTTATTCATCTTGCTCTAGGATGGGGAGGTGCTGGGAACATACCAGAGACTTCAGGATAAGGGACACCCAGACAAGAGTCTGTTTGCTCAGCGTGTTTCACAAACACAGATCCCAGCACTGGAAAATAACTCAGAAATGTAGAACGATGTGATTATTTTGTGTAAGGTGCACTCTATGTACAAGTGAATAACTGGATTCAGAAAGGCACATGATTAGTACCACAATGAGCACTGGGGAAGGACATCCTGAAATAACTAAGCCTAGAAGAAACAATTAATCAAGATGTTTTAAGGGTGTTCCACGTACATCACTAACTTGGCAAGAAGACTCAAGGTCCATTGGACCTAAGGAATTCAGGACGTGATAAAAAGAACTAAAATTGAGGAGAGGTTGACTACTGAACCATCTTGGGCAGCTGGAGTTACAGAACTTAAGATATTGTGTCCTTTCAGTGAACGTAGCTCATTAGAATGGCATTATAATACTAAAAATCACATCCCAGGTCATCAGCGTAGATGACAACCAGTTAATGCCTTTCCCCCATTACTCATTTCAATCTGGCAGTAACTAACTTAGCACACTGCAAGGGACATTCAAGTCGTGCTCAGACACCACCTTTAATGCTTATTCCCATTCCTAAAACTTATAATTATTACTATACGTTGGGGTTTTTTTAATTATTTAGGAAAAAAAAAAAAAGTATGAAACCAGGTTGTACAGTGACTTCAATAATTTGGTGCAGTTTCTGACCTAAACTTTGTGGGGCAGCATGACAGAGAGCAAAAACAATTTCGTTTTTGGTTGGTTTTTGGTCCTATCTGAAGTGAAATACATACTGTAGCTTTTCCCTTTTTAATTCCAGGTATTATTTGAAACCCCCTAACATTCACCTTATGTTTCCAAAATGTCTGCAATGTAGACAGGGTGAGGAATTATCTTGTAGTGATCTGCAGACACTCCTTGGCCTACCAGGTCTCCTGTTTCAGCCAGCTACTGGCAATCTGCAATTTCAGGACCACATTTTCTGAACACCCACATTTTATTTCCTCTCCCATCTGCTACTGTTATGAATCAAATGCCACAATTCCTGGGGTAGAAATCATCTCCTTGCATCACGCCCGTTGCACCCAAGCAACACGGTCCCAACTGGGGGAAGTCTGAACTCTGTCCTGATGAGCCTCAAAGGCTGGCTCAGCTCTGCAGAAGAAATTTCACCAATAAACTTCAAAAAACCAGCAAAAGCCATCCTGGCTGTTCCTGCAGGATAGGCTGCTGGCTTAATAAATCATAATTGCTCCCCAGTCTAACAGCAATAAGTGTCTATTATCTTTACTGGGGATGATGAATGAAGGGAAGATAAATTGCCCCTCATCCTGGTATAAAATTTTCATTCCAGAGATAGAGTGTGTTACTTGACAGCAAACATTTATATAGGAACCCCACCTTCCTTTCACTGCTGTTATATGAAGAGAAACTCAACTTCTGTTCTCAGTCTAGCTGTGTAGAACTGCAGCATTCCAAAGTATGGATTAGTTCTACAGAGCACAGGAATGTCCCAATGACGTTATGGAAATAATCTGTGGAGAATTTTCCCTGCACAGGTAGCACCTTTACTAACACACTCAGGCCTTCATCCAACAAGCTCAGAATTCAGGTTACTCTGATACTTCCCAAATCCTTTGGCAACCAAATAGTTGCAATTTGCCAATACTCTTCTTAACTGAAGGCCCAAAAATGAAGAGAACTGACCTTCTGTAATCACTGCCCAGCCTTAGTTTACTACAGCTGCAAGACCTCTTCCAGAGTGCAAAAAATCTAGAACTTGACTGATTTAAAAAACAATTTTAAAGCCTAAAATACAGTTCTCTGAAGTAGTGATCAGCATGGCCTGAATTGTCTTGCCTTCCACCACCTCAAAACTATAAACTCAGCATCTAAAGCATTTGAGAGGTATCCTGTACCATCCGATTGCTTTCTGTTGACTTCCAAATTCTGATCTTGTTATATACTCATCTAGTTTTAAGTGTATTTCTTTTGTTAATAATTTTTATTAATCTACAGTTGTCACTTGATACGTACTTGTATGTGTGGCCTGCTTGGGGCTGGCAGTTTTGTAGCAGATGGTACAGAATCATAGAATGGTGAAGGCTGGAAGGGACCTTAAAGATCCTCAGGATCCAACCCCCTGCCATGGGCAGGGACACCTCCCAGCAGCCCAGGCTGCTCCAAGCCCCATCCAACCTGCCCTGTCTGCAATGTAGACAGGGTGAGGAATTATCTTGTAGTGATCTGCAGACACTCCTTGGCCTACCAGGTCTCCTGTTTCAGCCAGCTACTGGCAACCTGCAATTTCAGGACCATATTTTCTGAACACCCACATTTTATTTCCTCTCCCATCTGCTACTGTTATGAATCAAATGCCACAATTCCTGGGGTAGAAATCATCTCCTTGCATCACGCACGTTGCACCCAAGCAACACGGTCCCAACTGGGGGAAGTCTGAACTCTGTCCTGATGAGCCTCAAAGGCTGGCTCAGCTCTGCAGAAGAAATTTCACCAATAAACTTCAAAAAACCAGCAAAAGCCATCCTGGCTGTTCCTGCAGGATAGGCTGCTGGCTTAATAAATCATAATTGCTCCCCAGTCTAACAGCAATAAGTGTCTATTATCTTTACTGGGGATGATGAATGAAGGGAAGATAAATTGCCCCTCATCCTGGTATAAAATTTTCATTCCAGAGATAGAGTGTGTTACTTCACAGCAAACATTTATATAGGAACCCCACCTTCCTTTCACTGCTGTTATATGAAGAGAAACTCAACTTCTGTTCTCAGTCTAGCTGTGTAGAACTGCAGCATTCCAAAGTATGGATTAGTTCTACAGAGCACAGGAATGTCCCAATGACGTTATGGAAATAATCTGTGGAGAATTTTCCCTGCACAGGTAGCACCTTTACTAACACACTCAGGCCTTCATCCAACAAGCTCAGAATTCAGGTTACTCTGATACTTCCCAAATCCTTTGGCAACCAAATAGTTGCAATTTGCCAATACTCTTCTTAACTGAAGGCCCAAAAATGAAGAGAACTGACCTTCTGTAATCACTGCCCAGCCTTAGTTTACTACAGCTGCAAGACCTCTTCCAGAGTGCAAAAAATCTAGAACTTGACTGATTTAAAAAACAATTTTAAAGCCTAAAATACAGTTCTCTGAAGTAGTGATCAGCATGGCCTGAATTGTCTTGCCTTCCACCACCTCAAAACTATAAACTCAGCATCTAAAGCATTTGAGAGGTATCCTGTACCATCCGATTGCTTTCTGTTGACTTCCAAATTCTGATCTTGTTATATACTCATCTAGTTTTAAGTGTATTTCTTTTGTTAATAATTTTTATTAATCTACAGTTGTCACTTGATACGTACTTGTATGTGTGGCCTGCTTGGGGCTGGCAGTTTTGTATCAGATGGTACAGAATCATAGAATGGTGAAGGCTGGAAGGGACCTTAAAGATCCTCAGGATCCAACCCCCTGCCATGGGCAGGGACATCTCCCACCAGCCCAGGCTGCACAAGCCTCATCCAACCTGCCCTTCAACACCCCCAGGGATGGGGCAGCCACAGCTTCCCTGGGCAACCTGTTCCAATGCCTTCCTGCCCTCATGGTGAAGAATTTCTTCCTGATTTCCAACCTAAATCTCCCCTCTTTCAGTTTAAAACCATTATCCCTTTTCCTATCACTGCCCTCTCCAATGAAAAGCCCCTCCCCAGCTTTCCTGGAGCCCAGGTACTGGAAGGTGCTCTGAGGTCTATAAAGTATATTAAAGGCTCACCCAGCTGAGGCAGCAGCTTCTTTTCCTGCAGAGCAGCAGTTATGATACATGTTTGGAAATATTTGACATGCCTCTGAATCCCAGTCATCTCCCTTTGCTGTTCCTCAGAGGTGGGAATGCAATCAAGCAGCTCAACAGAGGCTCTCTCACTTGTGAGGGGGAAAAGCCAATCTCAGTTCAGAATGAACTAATGCACAAAAAAAAAACTCTAACAAAGAGTTAGTGCACTAATTCACCCACAGAAAAATAAATAAATAAATAATGTTCCTTGCAGCTACAGGGCTCATGGAAAACACAATGAACAGAAACAATCTGCACAGCACACTAACAGCTTGAGTGCCACGTGATGCGTGGTTTGTATGCATGCATGACATGAAACATTTGCCAGGAAAGAAGAAAAAAGAGAGAGAGAGAAAAAGACACCCAAGAATGCTGAGTGCCTGAAGGAAACCACATTCTATCAGAAGAGAGCTGTGAGACAGAATTAATCCTCAGGAGGGGAAAAAAAGGCAAACTTGGAGGGAGAACTTAGTAGTTGTCCTGATCTGAGCCAGGATGAAGCCATTTTTCCTTTTACTGATTTTTCACAGCCACTCACTACCATCCTACTCATCCTACTCAGCACCTAAAATACCAGCAGATATTAAATACCTCAGATGTAACAAGCATTTGCAGAAATAAATGGGAGGGTGAGATACATCAGGCAGCCTCATGGAATAGGCTGCTCATCTTTCCAGGATGAGATTTTTTGCTTAGAAGAAACCCCGAAGCCCTTGCAATGAAAGTAAAACATTTACTTTTGTTTGTTTGTTTCTGAAGAGAGCTGGGTATGAATGCAGAGCAAAAGAAGCAAAAGCAAACTTTGCCAAATTGTGACACCAACGTGGAGAGCTCTGTGCTGCTGCCACTTAGAGCTGCTCTACACTCCTGTCCCAGGCTGGAACATCACAACATGAAAACATATTCATTTACAGAAACAGAACATTGTAATGGCAGAGGGAACCACTGGAACTCTGTTTTTCCTACATGAGTTTCACACCTCCATGTGTGTGAATTTCAGTACAGATTTTGGTTGTTTTAGGAAATTTAAAGTGATAAGTCATTAAAATCAAAACTCCTATTGCAGCTTGCAGAGCATTCTAACCAGGCACTCCCTCACTTCCACTCCTGCTTTTCACAGTTAAATTACCAGGAAATGAGTCCTACTAAAACTAGAAGAAAAACACTGTGGGTTTTCTGAAAGCAAGTCTGAAAGAAAAGTGGGTGATGAGTGAAAGAAGAGATGAGTGAGTTGCTTTGCTCTTACTTCTCGTCTATTTGGTGCTGTGATAGTAGCTGGAGTTGGAGATGCCTCCCCCGCGGATGGCATGGACAGCTGTTGGAGAAGATGCTGGGTAGTGGCCAGGGCGGATGGGCTTGGCTGCAGAGCAAGAGCAGGAAAGCAAAAAGACATTGAGCTTTCACACAAGGTTTTCTACCTCACTTTCTACTCTCCTGCAGACCCCATGGTCTGTAACCTCTGGGGACACGGCATTCCCGTACCTCAGCCAACAGCCACACACCCGTTTCAGGTTTGAGACAGGGCTGTTTAACCACCCCCTGCACCCCCCTCATCTCAGCAAAGGTTATAGACTGGCCGTATGACAGAGGGAAGTCACGACCACTTGGTGGTCAGTGATGTACTTTACATGTCCCACCTGCAGAAGATTATAGAATCACAGAATGGTTTGGGGTGGAAAGGACCTCAAAGATCATCTAGTTCCAACCCCCTTGCATGGGCAGGGACACGTCCCACCAGACCATGAGACAAAGCTCTCCAGTGACTTTCCAATAGAGCAGCATGCAGCAGGAGACACTGTGTGCTGCCTAATTGCCTCTTAAGACACCAGTATTAGCATCACCATCCAAAACATTATCCTTCTACTTGAGAGATTCCAGCAAGTAATTGCAGGATCTGCCCCATCTGAAACACCATTTGCTTGTATGCACATGTTCAGACTGCACCACCCAGGCACAGCAAGCGTCTGAATTATACAGGAAGCTTTTTTGACTCTACACAGTTCAAATTAAATCACAGGGAGGAGTTACCACAGAAAAAGGGAGGAAGGGACAAGGTCCAGAAAGGCAAAGAAAGAACAAAAGCCAAAGGAGAAGGGGGAAGGAAGAAAGTGAGAGACTAATTTAAAGAGACAAGTTTTCAGGTCACTAGAAGGGCACGCAAGACCCATTATGCCCTTTATTTGCTGAGTTAAATAGCAGAGGAGCTTTAAACTTCAGGTGGGGCAGATTCTATTAGAAAGTGAAGTCTTTGATGACTCCTGAGCAGCAGAGGAGAAGCAGCCCCCGCGGTTTGCCCAGGCCCGCTGCTTTCCAAGCTCCCTCCACTTCATCAACACGAGCAAACAGACCAACCATGAAGCATGTGAGCAAGCCCTAACCCTTTAGCTCCATGTCCTTACCAATTTGAGCAGAGTGTGCTCTCCGGGCCATGTTTTTGGCTCTCACAGCCTCCTTAATGCGATCTACCTCCTGCTGGTAGCGCTTGCGGTCCCGCATGGCGTTCTCCTTGGCCTCCTTCAGTGCACTCTCCAGGGCCTTAACTCTCTCTGCCGTAGCTCGAAGCCGTTTTTCCAGCTTAGGAAGCTCACAACGAAGATCTGCATTATCACGTACCAACTGCAAGAGGTTTCAAGAACAGCCTGTGAGAAGCCATGGGGAAGGTCCTCTCACAAGGAGAGGCAGGAATCACCTCCCCGATTCCTCTTCACACCTTGCGGGCTATGAGTGAAAGGAACAGGTTTCTTCAGAAAAGCCTGTAAAAAGCTGATCTGAGAGATTTATTGATTACCAGAATAACCTCCTGCTTCTCATACAACAATAGCCAAGAGCAAGGATTGATTTTTTTCATATATTGAATAAAAATGAAGCAAACAATTAGAAAACCCAGTGCAATTGCTAATGAACAGATTATACCATGGAGAGAAATAAACAGAAAAGTGTTCCAAAGGACAGATTCTCCTTTTTCTGGACCAAAGGGAAGAAAGTGGTTTAACTGCCATATTAACAATTCAATAAAGAAACAGCACGTACCAACATCCACTTGTTTGACAATCAGAATGTTTTATACCTGCTGGTCCAGGCTTTGTGCCAGAAGAGACACAAAGTTGAAAAAAAACCCACCAAATTGTCACAATGTGCTTTTTCTGCAAGTGTTGAACCCTTGTTCTACTCAATAGTTAGGATATAAAAGAAGAGCAGGATGATAGAACTCTCAGGTCAAGTCCAACATAATTTTTCCCTTTAAGCTTCTGATGGGACATGGACTCCTAGATGGTTTTGAGTAAATACACACTAATGAGAGCAATAAAAATGTGTGAACTGAGCGCAAAAAGGGCAAAATGGTGTAAGGAAAATCATTCCTAACGTGTCCTGATGTCCCCATTTGGAAACTAGGTCTTTAAGCCATCTGTTTACTGGGAATGTCAAAACACTGAACCTCAGTGGGCATTTGTCACAGTCCAGCACTGCTTGCTTTTTTTTGGCACTTCTACAGGAATAAATCAAGCAAATCCCAGAAAAGGTTTTGTCTCACTGCAAACAGATTCAGCAAAACACCAGACAGTGTTGTGTTCAAAAATGAAATCCCAAGCATCTGTACTGCTTTGTGCTCAGCACCTGAACAGTGGGGCAGAGCCCAGGAACACCTGCCAGGAAGGTGGACGCACACTTATGGGCAGAAATGACCCAGTTTTATCCAACGAGGTGCTGCCATTACAGACACGCACCCCGTTGATATGTGCACACTTCCAGTAAGCAGAGGGTGAGGCTCCTTCCGTGACAACTACCCAAAATGCTGCCTACCACACCAGCCCTTAAGCTGCAGAGAAAACCTCTTTTGCTTTGCTTTCTTATGCTGCTGGTTGACCACACCCCAGCCACCTCCAAGGGCACCTCTGAGCAGCTTCAGAGCAGGAGTCAAAAGTGGGGATACACAACCCATCTAGAAACCAGCTACCAGCACACCAATCACAAACACCTGACTCTAGTTTTTATGCATTACACCAATGCAGTGACAAGCATGACCAGCCTTGCCAAAACTGCTGGAGTTGATTTTCACAGGAAAATGCATTTTAATTCAACACATTAATGAGGAACGGGTAGTGGGAAAAGCAGCTGTAATATCAACTCCTAATGCCAAGAATTTTACTTGAGAACTACAGGTACCATTTCCTCAGATAGTACGTGTTACCTTCAAAAATCATCTTTTTAAACATAAAAAGTATATATTTTTTGTCAAAGAGGTAATTTGTAATCCTAAGTGATACAGGTAAGGTTTTTCCCACAGCTGAATCGTCAGAAGTGATTACTATTGATCAATGAAAAAGACAATATATTTTTATTTGATAGCAACTAGGCACTGGAAGGAAGGTGAGAAGGCAGTAAGGAGAGCCCCTACCTGTTTGTGAACCTTTGTAAGCTGTTCCAGGTTGTTCTCAAGAAAGGAAATTTTCTGCTTCTGTGCAGCACTTCCACCTCCGTCGTCGCTGTCGAGTTCAACGCTCTGCACAGAGAGTTGCAGCAATTAGCAAAGCCAGGCAGAAGCTCCAGAGAAAGCTCAGGCCTTTTGTCAATGTCAGCTGCCCAAAGGCAGAAAAGTCTTCCAGAGCCCCAGATTAAAGAGAATTTATTTTACCTGTTCATATGATATTTAAGAGCCACATTCCCCACTACACAAAAAAAATTATGGTGGGGATCCTGAATAGGAAAATAATAGATTTTGGTGGGGAAACCCCCTTTTCCCTCTTTTTTCCACTCCTGGGACACATTTTTAGGTAATATGGGTTTTCAACCTTCAAAAAAAGAGTATAAAAACTCTTCCCAAAACTACTCTAAAGGACTGACAAGCCTTGTGAAGCCTCTGACTATTTTATGCAGCCCTGACTCTTCTTCAATAGTTAAAAATACCTTAATTTTTGCCAAAAAATAATTTTGCCAGGAAAAGGCTGACTAGTCACAAAGCCATAAGAAAGAAGCATTCAGTGTAACATAACTCAGTGCAGGTTGTATTGAATCATTTCTAGTACCCATTAACACCACCTTTGAGGATTTTGTACCTGTACTGAATTGGATCAGTTCATCTCACTTAACCACCAAGAGATCAGAATCAAATAAAGCCTAATAAACATCAGAACAGTTTTAATCTCACTGTCTTTTTCAGTAACAGTAACAAACCATTTTGTAACAACATGCACCAGTGCAAAAAGGAGAAGACTTTGGTTTCAGAGAGTTCAGTCTCACTTTTTTAACGCGGGTGGTGAGATCTTGCACAAAGAGCCTGCGCAGGTTGTGAAGAGTCTGAAGTTCTCTTGCCTGCAATCAGTCATAAAAGAAAAATAATCAGTAAGTAAAATCAGTAAGTAATCAGTAATAAACCAGTAAGAAAGAGTAGATATTCTGGTGGAAAAATCCTGCTCAGATTTGAGTTAATATGGCTTTGTTGTGATTTATTTATAGTGACGTTCCTGCCTGTTGCCTCTTCATACCAATGGGCAGGAATGAGCCACTGTTTGGATTTCAATGGCTCCTGTTTTCCTGTCATTCCCTGTGCTTGACTTTTAATTCCTGCTACAGTAAATATTAAAATTCTAACAAAGTAAAATAAATGTTAATGTAAGATAGTTGAAAGATGTTTACTCAAACAGTTACAAGTTGGTTTCTGCAAGCTGGTGGCATCATTCTGCCTAATTCTGATTTCCAGCTGCCTTACTGGTTTCAGTGTACAGGGAAAACCAGGTCTATATGCAAGTATCTGAGGAGTACAGTTCATATCTGAAAGGGTGGCTAAATCTGCCCCTCACATCAGTTTATTTCAATAAGGCTTATGTCTGGGGAGCCATCAGGAGCCAAAGCTGAAAGGACCCAAATTGCTCAGATTCAGTCATGAACTCCAACTGATCCTGTGGCCACCAGAAGCTTAATTTTCAAAGCATAACACAGAGGAGAAAATCTTGGGTTTGAGTTAGTAACCATGTTAACACCAGCAAAAATCACTGTATGATGCTCCTGAACCAGCTCTGGTTTTGAGCAGCCTCTGAGATCTTGGGGAACACTTGCATGTTTTACAGACAGCCATAAATGTAGCTTCCAACAAATGTGTAGAGCAACAGCTTCAAGCCTGAAGCAATCCACCCCAGATTGCATTTTTAGCACTGCATGCACAGCATCACATCTCTCTGCAAGCTGCTACCCTGGTCAAGCTGCAGGATGTGTGTCCCACCAAACTGCAGCTACACTGTTCAGTACGTGGGTTATTGCAGGATTATTTTAGGTGATTTAAAGGAACAAGCTCAATGAAAGAGTATCAGTAGTCTTAACAGTGAGAGATGGCTCATAGGAAGCAACAGTGGCAACAGCTAATCTTAAATTTTAAGATTCAATGTCATGATTTGGCAAAATGCACAAATGTAGGCTATTATGATACAAACTGGACATTTTCCTGGACACAGATAAAAGTGTTTCAGTAGAACATCAGTGATTAAGACCTAGAAGGAAAAAGCTCAGTGAAGTGTAATTCAGACATACCACTGTTTCCTCCAGCCCCTTAAGATCTTCTCTTGCTTGTTCCCTTTTATCATTAAGCAATCTAGAAAGAGCACAACATTAAACACAAATCAAAACTGCTGCAGTCAAGTAAGACAGAAGAGAATCAAATCAACATGCAGTTTGAGTGAGACAGCTGCAGATGCAAGCAAATCATACATCTTTTTGCATCTGTAATTATGCTTCTGACTGTCCCAGATATGCAGCTTTCTCACATGGAATGGCTGAGCCACCACCTCCATTTTTTGTGTCCACTCATGAAGTTCTTCTCTCTCACTTCTAGGAAAGGCTGTTACTCAGACATCTGATTTATTACTTAAAAAACCAAAAACCAACCAAAAAACCCACCCCAAACCCCCAACTTCTTTCATACAAGTAGCAAATCCACTACTTTCTCTCTCACTTCTAGGAAAGGCTGGTACTCAGATCTGATTTATTACTTAAATCTGATTTATTACTTAAAAAACCAAAACCAGACCAAAAAACCCACCCCAAACCCCTAACTTCTTTCATACAAGTAGCAAATCCACTACTAAAAACCTATGATATAAAAATACAAAGAAATTGGTAATCATTTATTAGTATTGCTTGTTGGCTTTGTTACTGAAATGGTATGTTCAGTGTGAACATCTCAACACATTTCCTGGGGACACATTAAGAGACACTCTATTCAAGGAGAGCAGATGAGAAAACTGTTGACTTACATGAGCTTTTCCAGTTTCATTTCTCTTTCCTGGTCCTCAGTTTTTAATTTATCATAATCAGCACTTAGTTTCTCTTGCTCCAGTTGCAGCTTCTGATTCATACTGGAATGTGAAAAGAAAAGTCAGAATAGAATCATAGAATGGTGAAGGTTGGAAGGGACCTTAAAAATCCTCAGGGTCCAACTCCCCTGTCATGGGCAGGGACACCTACCACCAGACCAGGCTCCACAAGCCTCATCCAACCTGTCCCTGAACACCTCCAGGGATGGGGCTTCCACAACCTCCCTGGGCAACCTGTTCCAGTGCCTTCCTGCCCTCATGGTGAACAATTTATTCCTGATGCCCAACCTAAATCTCCCCGCTTTCAGTTAAAACCACTACTCCTTGTCCTATCACTACCTTCTCTAGTGAAAAGCCCCTCCCCAGCTTTCCTGGAGCCCCTTCAGGCACTGGAAGCTGCTCTAAGGTCTCCCTGGAACCTTCTCTTCTCCAGGCTGAACACCCCAACTCTCCCAGCCTGGCTCCAGAGCAGAGCTGCTCCAGCCCTTGGCTCATCTCCATGGTCCTTCTCTGGACCCTCTCCAACAGCTCCATGCTTTTCTTGTGCTGAGGGTTCCAGAGCTGTAGTCCTGAATCCCACAAACAAGGGTGGGTAAATCCCTATGAACAAAATGGGGTCAGACAGAGAAAGTGAAACTGTAACTCTCTACTGAAAAATTCTGAAATATATTAAGCATAAAGAAACTGAAGGACAATATTTTAAAATATTGGAAAATTTAACTCAGTGCCTTGCTTCTTTTATTTTAAAGGACACAACCTGTTCTTGCAATCTTTATGCCCCACTTCCTCATATTTTACATTTCCCTATTAATAGTCTTTAGCCACACAATAAATATGATGAGACACTGGACACTGCATCAGGCTTGCCAAGATTTTATGCACACTGACAAAAAGAAGAGAACAGGAGCAAAGAACTCTGGTTTTCAAGTGCTGGAGTATCTAACAGAGTTATGTTGCTGTGTCAGGAGGAAATGTTAAGGATGTGAAAATGGTACATGTCCAAGTCACCCAGACTTGCAGAAACTCTATGGTAGGACTGGCAGCTGTTCCTCAAAACCTTTTTCTCTTACCTACTGACCTGCTGGTGTAACATTATACTTCTTATGGACTAGTTAAAGCTCCCCAGTAAAGACCTAGGCTCTATAACCCACCATGCAAAATAATCAGAGGGTTGGGTGTTGCATGTAAGGACACCACCTTCTGTAAGACACCAAAATGTGTAGACCTCAGTTAAAACTAACAGAAGCAACCCCCAGCCATCCCAGAGTGTCACAGAACAGGACAGGAACAGAGAAGGTGATGGAGCGAGTGAACATACTCTCTGATTTCATCAATTATTTTCTGCTTCTCTTCAATTTCATCCCTCAGCCTGGACAGCTGCTTCTGGTGGGCTTCCCTGTGACTCTCCATCTGCTGCTCCAGCGCCTTCTGCAGAGTGAGAACCCAGAGCAGCACAGGAAACAAAGCACAGAACACACAGCTCAGCTTCCTTACGTGGCAGCTACACCAGCCTCTCCTTCTGGATTTGAGTGAAGCTTATCAGACCAGGTTAATTCAGGAATCTGCCTGGGAGATCTTTCTATGATTACACAACTGTGCATCTACTTACCCAAGCATTTAATTTCGACAGGTTTTAGCAACAGATGTATGCCAACTTCTCCTCATTTCTTTCCAAAACCTACTGCATGGGAAAGACAGGCTCCTAGCACACCAAGTGCCAAGAATGGCACTGCTTTTACCAGTCCCCTATTCATTCACCTGTTTATTCATCAAGAAAATATGTCTGCAGCTCTACCCGTGACAGAAGTAAAACCCAAAACATCCCCCCCTCTGAGAACTGTTTATCCACAGCCCTGCTATTTAAGTATATCCCAAGCAGTCAGAAATACTCAGTGCATCTCTTTAGATGCATTTCTTCCTCCAACTGCAGAGAGCAACTGCACGTGTGTTTTAATCACTTCAACTTTTTAGAAAGGAGGTAAAAGTCCTGAAGCTGACAAATCTCTACCACTATCCTTGTAAAAGAATATTTTTCCTTTTATGCAATTAGCAGCTCCATCAGCAACACAACCTGCACATTGTTGCCTCATATTTCTTCTCTGCGTGCCAAAGGAGGAAGAAAACACCAGAAAATGGTTCATATTTCATTATTTTTTTCTAGGAGATAGACAGAACTCCTGCCAAACAATTTGGGAAAGTGGTCTGGCTTCTTTTTTAATACAATTTTAGTACCTAAATGACATTAACTCCAGTTTCCCAACTCACTACTTAGCAAATTGACTTTCAGCAGAGTTCCACTGGTGCAAAATTAAGAGTAACACAGAGATGGATCAATACCATTTTTCAATCATATACACCAAAACTGTTCTCAACTCTCAATATGCCCTTATATTTCAGTTTCCCATCTGTGTGATTTGAGGAACCCAGGCATGTCCAGTTCAGCCAAGACAGCGCCCTGAACCTCTCTACTCCTCGAGGTTGGCTCAGCTCACAAACAGGTCTCAGAAGATGCACTCACCTCAGATGTTCAGGCTACAACTCACTTTTTTCCCTTAATCTGGTCAACAACCACAAAACTTAAGTTCTCTAATTTCAGATTTACAGTTACATGAGATCAGGTTTTCTAACAGAAGCTGGCAATTCTGATAGCGGCTGGAAAGTGTTTTCTAAAAGCACACACTGTATATAGGAAGACAAAATGACACCCTCATTATCAGCTTCACAAACTATCTCACTGAGAAAGGCCCTCTAAAACTGTCACACACCATCCTACCTTCATCTCCTCCGCATCCTGAAGCCGGGTGAGATGCTCCTTCTCTTTATCCTTGAAACTGACCTCGTGCATTTTCTCTGTTTCAAGTTGGAGACAGTTGAGAATTAACCACACAGTTTCAGGATGAGCTCTGTCCAGCCACTTAAAAAACCCCAACCAGTTCTTCTTTTTGCAGGGATCAGGGGAGACAGCTTTGGAGAGGCAGAAACAGCCATGGCGTGCAGGACCCAAGCTGTGACCACACTGCCCAAGCTCCTTCTTCCTTTACTACCAGCCCACATTGTTTTCAGCCCACCCAACCCCTTTCCAACCTACCCGTTTCTCCTTCTATCCCCACATATCACAATCTTTCTTGTCCCTTTGAACTCTCTGCTTTTGGAAAATGAAGTTTCTCTGTATCTAGTGAAAGGACTTGGCTGAAAGGGATGCTTCTGGTTTGATCTCAAGTGCAATGTGCCACAAGGAAGTGCAATCTGTGAAACATTGTGAATCACAATTTTATGTCTTCACTGCAAAATACTGAGCAGACAATAACATGTTGTAGGACTACTCACAATGCTTCAGCCAATGCTGTATTTTCTAAGCTACAGTTGGTAAAAACAATGATGACCACAAGACCCAGTGTTGTACCTTGAGCACGTAACTTGGCAAGTTCCTCATTGAGAGAGTCCTGTGACTCTTCCAGCTGCCTTCTCTTCTGCTCCATATTTTGCATGTAGTCTGTGAGGGATTTGATCTTTGCTTCATGCTTTAAAGAGAAGGGGAACAGCAATGAGCTGTGAGTACCACGAGTTGTCCCTAGGAGCTCAGGTACTGACACAACATTGGCAGTAACAGGCCATCAGTCTGCAAGGCCTCAGGACTGAGGCTTGCCAGGCTTGATCTCTCTGAACATTTCCTGAGCTGCTTTGTAGCTTCGTTTTTCTTTTTTTTAATGTGGTGGTTTTATAGAGAAGGTGCATTTGCCCATTAACCAGGTTTTGAGCATAACACCACCCGGGTTCCTCCCACAGATGGGCATCAATCTGCACCTAGTTGTAGAACCTCCAAAATGCCAAGGCAAGGTGATGACCTGATGAAGAGTATTTCTGCTTGGTTTCTTCACCATGTGAACTTCCACTACTTGGATTCATATTTTGGATCCTAAACCTCCAGTCGTATTTCTGCTTGTTTCTTCACCATGTGAACTTCCACTACTCGGATTCATATTTTGGATCCTAAACCTCCAGTCTCCTGTCCATAAACAGGTAATGAGGAGAACCATGAGGTCACGCTTGTGACAAGCTCTGAGCATTGAAGCTCTCCCTGATTCCAGTGTGACCACAGTGTAAGAGGACAAACACCAGCCCTAGAGCTGCCTTCTGCTCCCTCCTTCACTGGGTCAATGTAAGCCTGCACCACGGCTAGAAGATGCTGTCTCACCCCCCATGGCTGAGACCTTCCTTCCCAGCTCTGTGCTCCTGCTCCTCTCCTGCCAGCAGCAGCAGCACACACACAGCATAGTGAAGCCTTAATCTGCTTTACTAATTCAGGTTCCCAAGGAGAGGGAGCAGCACAGGTTGGCAGGGTGACTTCCTTCAGTGGCCTTGCCAACCCAGAGTCTACTTAAAGACAGGATGAAAAGTTTAGTTTTCAGTTAACATTTTTGGACAGCCACTACACTCCAGAATCCAGCCTCCCTGTAATACTCAGAATCCTGCTTCCAGCTACAGTGTTATTAAGTATTACTTAATAAAGACATCCTGCTGCAGGACAAGAAGCTACCCTTGCTCCAGGTTTTCTTAGACTATCTGGTCTCCAGTTGCCTCCTCCTCTTCCCACCTCCTTCAAAGCAGCTGAGCACGTCAGAGCAGTCACACAGCAACTTGTAGCTGTGAAGCCCCCCAACCATCTGGATTTCTATTGTGTCTATTCTATCATCTATATGTTGTGTATCATACAACAATGTTTTGTTTTCCATAAAGTATTATTCTATATAATGCTGCCTAGCTGTTCTGTTAGCATCCTAACAGATCAGACACAGGGGTGGGCTCTCTGAGGGTTTTGCTAGTGAATGATACAATCACTGCTTCCTTTCTCAGGTTGCTTTTAAAGTGAAGGTAGAAGATACAGGTTCATGCTGAGGAAATCACTCTGAGGAGGGTTTCTAATATTATGTCCCAGAAAATATTTTGAGATCTACAGTAGGATATGATATCTTGCCACACAACGTGCTCTGCTCCCTGGAGCCTCCCTCCTCGCTCCCAGCACACACGTTTCATGAGAGGAGGAGGCTGAGAAAGGCCCTAAACCTCTCTGCAAAAGGGAGAAGGGAGGCAGCAAGGTACCTGTGAGATGAGGAGCTGGCAAGCTGCGAGCTCCCTCTCGCTGGCGTTCATCTTCCTGTTGGAGTCCAGCTGGGCGCTCTCCAGCTGCTTGCTGCGGTTCACCAGGGACTTCACCTCCGACTTCATCTTGCTGATGTAAAGCCTGGCCATGGTGAACTCCTCCTCGATCACCCCGTTCACATCTGCTAACTAAACAGATAGGAGATTGCCATCTCGAGGGCGCGGTTCCCACAGGTGAGTCAGTGCAAAGCAGTTTTGCTGCTGCGAAACCCTTGTGTAGAGCTAGGAAGGCTCTGGGAAAGCACAGCAGCACTTCAAGGAGCACCCACAGACCTCCAGGTCACCTTTAAACATGTTACAACACTGTTTCTTGCAGTCTTAATGATAAGCCTCAAAAGTGAGGCATTCCAGTACACATCATTGACGTTGTGGTTCAACATCTAAAGTAATCAAGGCCATTATCATGGCCAGGGCATATTTTGGAGAAACCTTCTCATGTCATCAGCACAGGCAATTTTCCTTCTTTCAAGCTGGTGAAAGCTGAGGAGCATTTGCAAAGTACTCCTTAAAGAATTCTCCTCTTGAAGGGTTGTGCTTCTTCAATATGGACCTGCCAGACAGACATGACTCTGGAAATCTCATCTGGCAAGAAGGAAGTAACTGCTCTTGTCTCTGAACATCACTATGATTCCATTGATACTTCCTTCCCTGGTTCAACACAGTGCCTTTTACAAGTAACTGCTCTTGTCCCTGAACATCACTATGATTCCACTGATACTTCTCTTCCTTCCCTGGTTCAACACAGTGCCTTTTATCTGCCTGTCTTTCTCTTCAAGATCTTTCTTCAGCTACTTAATTCATGTAACCACTGATGAGCTGTGAAGGTTCTCCTTGAGTGAGCATCTGGCCACCAACTTCATCTGCTTTTCACCTTTTCCCAGCACCACCAAGGGGAAGGTAACACGTGCTCTATCTTCTCCTAACAGTCTAAAACCACAACTACTTCCAAGCCCCTCAGTCTGCTCCAAAATTAGACACACTTTGAGAAGATCCTAATTTGCCAACAAACTGGAAATTATTCTTCTCAAAGCTTCTCAATCTGGCCGTGTTTACACTGACAGCTGTCCTGTAAAATGCTGACATCTTAGTTACTGTAAAAATTTCTATCAAGCACAATCTGCCTCCATTTTCAAAGATTTCTTCCCATAGTTCCTGCTACAACAGCCACCAGAGGTTGCTGTAGCATCTAGCAAAGTCTCATCTTGTCCTGGCATCTGCGTAACCACCTCAGAAAACAGGGATCATGTCCTCTGCAGTAAGAGCAGGCTGGAGCATCTGCTGATCTAAGAGGGCTTCAGCAGGGTATCAACAACTCTCAGAGTCAGCTTAGGGCCCTCCAGCCACACTTACTCAATTTTGGCTTTGAATGTTCAGAGAAGTTCATTGCTCAAAAAACTGAGGAGTGAACTCAAAGCAAGAAAATGGAGTGCACTGCAAGAACTGCACATGCATCTGGAAAATTAATTTATCATCTAATTTTAGCAATTGCTCTTCTTTACACATTTTCAATGGAAAAATAAAATGGTATAAAAAAAAAAGCAGGAAGATCTTCCAGGCCATGAAAAGCTTCCATCAGAGATGTGCTGTTCCCCAGTGACTATACAAATATCTTCTCTGAGGCTCAGCATTTTTCCCACCTACAACAGGAAAAGTCTAACAAAGTGAGCAGGTACCCCCTTCACCAAGCCAAACATGAGGCAAACTTCAAGGAAAAGCTGGACAAAATTTGCACAACCTCCAGGTACATTCAGATTCTGCTGCTGCAACCACCTTTGCTCTCATTCTTACCTTCCTACCTCAGAGGAAAAGGATCCTCTGCCATTTCTCCTCTGTAAAGGTCATTAGCCAATAGGCAAAAGTTAAGCTGGTCCAGGTGTCAGGTCACTACTTCTGTGGTACCTAGCACAAATTCACCAGTGCTGGAAATCAGTACTTCTAAAGCATCTTGTGTTCCAAAACACAGCTGGAACTGTGAGCTCTCTGATGAAGCCAGACAGGCTCCAAAGGCAGGAAACACCAGACCTTTTCGTTCAAGTGCCCTGGACAACCATCAGTACAGAGCTCTGCCTTTCAGAACTGGCCACCTCCAGCTAGACAACATTTTTAGGACAAACTTCAAACAGCATGGTAGCCACTCAGAAGCCAAATCTCACCCAGAAAGATCCCCCTGATTCTGGGAACACCAAGTCATGACAGTTAACAAAGGGGTGGCCCTATGTGCATATTGTCTTTGGGGGGACTCAGTCCTCCCCCCATGAATACATGCCTCAACACACAGATGGGCTGCAGCAGCCTGGCCTCAAACACTGAGCTGGGAATAAATGTGACAATTGTGTGCACAGACACTGACCATCTCTGACCCAGACAAAGATCTCTTCAGTATTTCCCGCTGTGCTCTGGCCAGGATTTACCAGCAGTGTCCTGGGAGCAGAAGTGCTGTGTCACACATAGTCCACGTCAAGTATTTTGACACTGCAGGAGGTGTGGGGGGGAGGGAAGCAATAAAGACAGCTCACTTACTGTTTTCACATCATTAGTACCAATGATTCCTCCAATCTCGCCCAGGTCCTTAAGCAGCAAGTTCAAGATTTCTGTCGCTCTCTTCTTCTGGTGGTTACTGAGCTCCTGCAACTGGCCCAGCTCCCTCTGGGTTGCTGTCAAGGCACTCTGAAAAGGTTTAAAAGCAAAATTTACCCTCCCCTCTGCAGACTGGGCATCAGCTCTTCTCTGATGCTCAAGGTTACACCAAACTGTGGCATTTTGCTGAACACGCCTGCTGGTTCCACATCCTGACACGGGCACTTCCACCTGACCATGATCCACTGCCACAACTCACTTGCTAACAGGGCTACTGGAGATCTATTAAATGCAGTAAATCCTGTAAGGATCTTATTCACTTAATACATGTCAAAGAAGGTTAATCACAGAGGAACAGGTCTGTATATATATATATAGAGGTATACGTATACAGGTATATATTTTTATATATATATATATATTATTATTATTTCAAATGGATTTGATAGTAATCTGTTTTCCTGAAGTGGATAACAAAGTCTTCCCTGAAAACAGACCTGTTAACAACAGCTTCCTCAGTTTGTGTAAGGAATTAAGGAACAAAATTGCACTTAGCTAGTCAGCCAATCTTGATTTTTCTCAGGTTAGATTTTTTTCCTTAAGATCAGTACACAACAGCTGAAAAAGCTGACTTTTTCTGATTCCTTCCTTCAGATCCCTTGACTCCATATAAAATTCCTGCTCTGCAGGGCCAGAGTCCAGAGAAACACTAAATGCTGGGATTTGCACAGAGCAGATTTCCACATCTTGCTTGGCATAGCACAGCTCTTAAATAACCACAACACAAATGGGCAGTTCTCACTCCCTGCTCAGTTGCTGTGCAAGGCACAGAGGTTGCAGCAGAGCCCCAACCTGCCACCAGCCTCCACAGAGCTGTTTCTAAATGATCTTAATTTTATTTTTCAATTAATGTGGAAAAGGTAGCACTGGCAAATATTGATCTTTTAGCAGCTTCCTTGCTACTCCAATTTTTAAACTACATGACAACATACTTGGCAGCAGTGTCTGATGGATTCCTGAGCTGGCACAGGCCAGGGAATCTTTGGGGGATGAGGAGGGAAGGACTATCAAAGCTCTTACACTCTTCTGTGCCAGCTCATCAGTCAGCTGCTCATTGGCTCTTGTTTTGTCCTCCACTTCTTGGGATTTCTGGTCATAATTGACAGCTAATTCTTCCAGGGCTTGAAGGACCTCTTTCACTTCATCTTTGGCTGCTTCGTTCTCAATCTGAAGTCGGGTCAGCTCCTCTTGAATCTTCTCATAATCTCTCCTAGTGGAGGCCAAAAGCTGGAAACCAGATATCACAGAAGCATTAGGTCACCCAAGAACTCATTCAAAACAGAACATTGGAAAGGGCAAAACTAGACAAAGAGAGAAAGAAATCATAAACACAGAAGGGTTTGTGCAAGAGAGAGAAATCCTGCTACTCTACCAGAAACAGCATCAAGTTCAGCATAAATCTATTTGAAGGACACAAAAAAGGCTCTGACCTTCAATAAAAAGAAAAATCTTAATCAAATCTTCTTATGGCACAGGACTGAGGCAGAGAAACTGACTTTAAACAGCATCATAGCTCCTAGTAATTTTCCTGCCCTCAATCTGGTGCTGCAGCTGGGACCAAGATTTACCTCAAAGTAAAAGGTTTCAACACAGACTCACAGCTTTGAACTGAACCAAGTCAAAGGGCTCTCTGAAGAAGTCAGATATACATTTTTTGATAAGCAAACCTATGATGATGACTCTTAGTTATCATCTGAAGCACAATGCTGAAGACAGATCAGCTGATCATATTTACAGAGGCAAAATATTAACTAGAGAAGAAAATACAGACTTCACAGGTACTGGTGAGTGAATTCCATTTGGAAAACTTCTTAAATTTGCTCTTTGCATGCAGAAATTTCAGTGATGGTGATGATGGTGAGATACCAGCTGCATGGTCCTCTCCCTTGCCCCACTCCCTCTTCCTTCAACTGTAAAAGTCTCAAAAATGGAGCTGTCAGGTCCTTAGCTCAAAGCCAGAGGTACCAGCAATCATACACTGCACAACAGTGGGAAAATAAAGGTACCCCCTAACATTTCTTGCCAAGATTGTTCTTTCAAGAATAAAAACAAAACCAGCACTTACCACTGCATAAAAAACATAAAAGAGAACAATAACCTATCAAACTAGTGCACGAGCTACAAGAAGGCATTTTTGCTTATCCTAACAGCAGAGTTTGGACATTGACTCACACAACTCACTTATTTCCAAGCCCTTCCTGTGGATGGATCAGTAGAATATAGTTGGACAGCAGAAAAAAATACCTGCCCTACTGCAGTGTGATGAGTGGACTTCTGATCTGCCCCATCCCTGCCCACTGTGGCCATGAAGAAGTTGGGTGTGAGACCCCAGGCAAAACAGAAACACCTCTCTAAACCAGACCCCCTGAAAGGAGAAATGTCAGAAAAGACATGGCTTTTGCTTTTTTTTTTTGGCTCAGAGCACTCCTGGAAAATAGAAAAACCAACCAGGCAGCTTCAGAGGCTGGCACGTGCCCAAAGTGGTGAAGGGAGGATTCAGATGTAAGGGAAATTTATCTCCCTGGTAATGCTGCAGCCTCAGAAGTGCACTCACGTTACGGAAAAGCCACTGAATTGCCAAAGCCAGATGGCATGTAAATATTTAAACAACAAAATAGCTTAAAATAATCTTTCTACTAAACACAGATGGAACTATTATTTACATTTACTTATGAATTTTTCTGTGTATTACTGTGATTTCAAGTGAAGTGTTATTTATCACCTAGAGCATAAACACAGCTCCCCAGAAGCTTTTTTGTTGTTGTCATGTGGAAAAATGTATCAAGATTTGAAAGGCTAATAGCACGTGGCACCCATCAGTGCCAAACACAGGGATGGAGACACTGGTTGCAGCACCTCATGGGTCTGCTCAGAGGTGCAAGAGTGGAAGATTCAGAATCCCCCCAGCCCAAACACACCCCAAGAAGCAGCCAGGGGTGAAAAGGTACCAAAAGACACCAGGACCAGCACAACGCCATCTGTGGCAGGCCTTAGATTTCTAATTAACCTGCTAGCTTAATCAGGCAGAAAAAAAGTGTTCTGGTTAATTAGGGGGAAGCAGAGTGAGGCAGCTGCTCTGCAGCACATCTATCACAGAGCTAATCACAGCTCTAAGAGAGAGCAGGTACTTTGCTCCCACTGGGTAGGTGAAGCTCACGCGTGGAAGACAAAACCCAGAAAAATTAATTCCATCTCCATAAAGAAGCAAAAAAATACTGCATTAGCTCTCACAGGTAAGAGATAGACAAGCTTCTCAGATGAGCCACCTAAATCTTCTGAACAAGTGGTGCAACACCAGCTGCAGAGGTTGCAGTAGGTCAGCAAAGCTAGACCAGAACACATGCAAAAAAAAGGGGAGTAAGTGTTTGGGAGGCAAGGATTAAAGGCCACTGGAAACTTGACTCATCTTCCAGATGAAATATTGAGTATGGAACACAAAGTGGGTGGAGAATAAAGCATTCCCAGTGGTGGGGGCCTGCAGCACACAGCATGCTCCCAAATCTCTAACACAAAGACAGGAAGGCACGAGACTCAAAAAATAAGGCACCAAAAAAAAGCATAAGGGGAAAAAAAAAAAAAAGCCTTAGATGAGAACATTGATGTGAAAAAAGATGGAGAAGTGAGGTGGCCTAAATAACACGCATCAGAAAACCATGTTGCTGAGAATGCATTAAATTCTATTACATTGGTATAGCCATGGGTAGCACATAATAGAGTCATCAAAAGAAAGTTTCAGCCAGTAAAGGGAGAGCTTAATCATGGAGTAAAGTAAAGCTGGTAATTCCTTCAGTGAGGATAAAGCCCCAGAGGTGACAGGCAAGTTATGAGTGATGAGTAACAGATGTATTTATATGGTGTTGTCTCCCTGCTAAGGAGCTAAACCTCAGAATCCCTTTCTGAGGGTTTGGAAAGGACTGAGATTCGGACAGAATTACTTTTTAATTACAAGAGAAGTCTCACACCCCAAAAAGCAGCTAGGATAACACTGTATTCCAATGGCAAAGGCTCAGGCAGCCAGGAGGGGCAGGCTTGGAGAGAATCCCAGCAGTGTTTTGTGCAAAGAAACACCAGTGTTTGGGAACACTAATGGCATGTGAACCCTCACACCAGGGTTGTACTCTTGGTCTGAATGCTCCTTCTCCAGTTCCCTTCAATTTCAAAACCAGCATGAAACCATCATCTAAGAAATATCACAGCAACATTTGGAGAACTTGCTAATTTGGTGCCAGATTTTGTATCTTCAAAACCTCTTGTACACAAAATGATAGCTAAGGAAATTTCTTGACTGTGACCTTGGTGATCATGTTTCCCCATCTTAAGAGCCACATTCATTTTCTGGACAAAACAATGAAATAAAATGTTAACAGTGAACAATCCAAGATTTGAAAGCAAATCCGTGGCAGCATCAAGAATCTGCTTTTCAGTCTCTCAGATTTCTCCCAGTACTGCCTCTAACTGCCAAACTAGTGATCAGCAGTAATTTATTACCAGGAGTAATTTTTATACTGTCAAACTAGGGATTCTGCTTAACTACCTGCAGCTCATGGTGTCTGGATGCCTGAAAGGACACAGACATACTGAAAACACTTTGGAAGTGAAAAACACTGTCCATGCCCCTGCCTTGGTACCTCCAGCATCCCTCCCAGCAGGATGGTGTGATGCTAGGAGGAGTTATCAAGGCTTAATGCTCTTCTGAGATAATGAGATGGGAAATTTAAACCTGTCACACAGGTTTCTCTTACCTATTGAATTTTAGTTAGCTAATTTGAACATACCTAGCCTAGAACTGTGACAGAATCCCTCAACAATAAGCACAATGTAAGGACTTTTTCAATTGGTTTAGTTTCTTACCTCCTCTTGATCCAACATTTGTTGCTTTAGTTTTTCAGCCAGCTGGCTCTGCTGGTTGATTTCATCATCCTGCAATGAAATAGGGTTGGAGATTTTTTTGTTTCTTGTCACAGTTGACATTTGGTCACTTTTATTTCCCCTTTCTAGAAAAGCAGCAAGAACAATGCCATGGCCAACCCTGTGCAGCTTTGAGTGGGATGAGAGGAGAGAGCTGTATAGCAAAAGCCAGGCATATATGCAGTTGTCTCTGGTAGATACCTAAGCAGAGGTGTCCCTGATGGTAAACAAGACACTGATGTGGTCAGAGCTGCACCTTTTTAATTTGCAGGAGACTTTGCCAACACACATCATGGTTTATAGATGTACAGATGCACTCTGGCTCTCTCTCTTACTCTGTCCCCAGATTCCAGCTGCAGAAAAGCCTGTAAAAAGCCCCTAAAATGAAAGGTAAACTTGGCTCCAATTTCAGGGAGAATACCCACAAACACTATTTGCAAAGGGAAGAGAAGGAGATATATGATGTGATAGGACAAGGTCTGGTTTTAGGCAGTGATGGTGTTTTGAACTTTGGGACCTTTTCTAGTTCATGGCGCTCAAGAGAGACAGACACACTCACCCATTTTGGCTTAGTTTTCCATTTACACCTAGAGAATGGAGTCAAACCAAATGTTCACACCTTATCATCCAGCTGTCTGTAGAGACTGGCAATCTCCTCCTCGTATTTCTGTTTCTCCTCCGTTGAGATGCTGGCAACAGCTGGTGTGATGTTGTCAATAATTGGGGTGTTATCACAAGGCTCCAGGTTCTTCTGGTCCTTTGCACTGATCTGTTCATCTTCAGGCACAGCTTCTCCTGCAGGCACATCATCCACAAGCATTACAACCCAGGAGAGCTGCCCAAAATCATGGATGCCCTAGGATGATCCTTCTCAGTTGCCAAGAGGGACTCAGTGATGGCAAGAAGGGCTGCATCCAGCTATGGAGGGCAGGAGCTGCCATGCTTACAGATGACAGGCCAGATTAGGTATGGAAGGGTGGCCATCCATCCTCCCTTGTCAGAAGCACCAACACTCAGCATTCAGCAGCTTTTGGAATGGCTGCCAGTGAAAGCCCTGCCCTCCTGGCTCCCCTTTTGCTCAAACCCTTTATAGATGGGATTAGCTCCATGGATTAACAAAAATAAGGAGGGGAAAAAATCCAACCTGCAGCCTAAAACCTACTGACAATTAAATGTCTCTTCCTCTCCAGATTTCCAACTGCCTTGTCAACTCTCCTTCCCCATAACGAACTGCTAGAACATCAGGGCAACAAGCAATACAGCTGCATTTCAAACAATATTCACCTTCTGCCTTGTCACACCTAAAAATAAAGAGCACAGACCAATTTCCAGGTGCAGCCTGTGCACACCAGGTACAACGTTATCCCTACGCCTTTTCTTTGCAAATAATCTTCTCCAAGGAGTGGTTTCTTGGGTAATGTCAGAGCACTGCAATTACAAGCCTGCTGCATTTCAGTGCAGAGAGACAGGCAAGGCACTCGTGCCAGAAATTGAATCTACTCCCATTAGGGCCTGGTGAGAGACCCTGAGCTACTGAAGGCTGCACGCCTTGCTGCAGGTGCAGGAAGGTTACACTCAACCCTTCTGCACAAAGAGGGTTTTTTTTTCCTTTTCTATGAAAAGCTACAATACTGAAGTCCCATAAAGCTTTACGAGCCATTTCTCTCTCAAAACTGTGAAGACACTATTTATCTTCCTGGTGGGGAAACAAGTAAACAGGACAAAGATACCAAAACCCAGAAAGGCAGGTTAATTCAGAGCCGAAAGCAAAAGAGGGTGCGAAAGAAGGGGAAACAATTTTTTCATGGACCATAGTGTCTTGCGAAAGAGCACGACCAGATAATGGGGGAAACAATTTTTTCATGGACCATAGTGTCTGTAAAAGTACATCCCTTTTTTCTCCGCTTCTAATACCTTGGTCGTATTTTACAGTGTTCATGAGAAATGTGTAAATTGCTTTTTCATTGCTGCATTTCAGTGGAGCAGACTGGGAAAGGTGGGCTAGGTCAGACCGTGGGACCTCGCACACACAGCAACGCTCCTCAGGCTGCTGAGGATCCATCAGGAGCCTCCCAGGATGAATCTTTTTGCTTTTCATTTCCCTGTGCTGTTTCCCTGAACTCAGAAGCTTTGCATGGCAGACTAGCACAGGTGAGAGGAGGAGGGCAGGCTAAATTTGACAGGGATGCTCAGGTTGGAACGACCTCCTGCCTGTAACACACAGACCAGATGGTGCACGTGGATACAAGGCTGCTGAAATCCTGCTTCAGCAAGAACTGGGCACACCCATTTTCTCCTACAATTTTATTTTGTAGAGTTTTGGACAACTAGATGATCTTTCAGGTCCCTTCCAACCCAAACCATTCTGTGATTTGGTCCATTTACAGAACAAGCTAAACTGAGTGAATATTTATGTCTCTATCTTGCATCTTCTATTCAAGATGCAATTCCTGTGACGCTTCCATTTGCAAAGAGCCTCCTTTGTCAGAATATCCTTCCCAATGATGCCATTGCAGAAGGTCAGACAAGAAATCAATAGTCTTTGAACATACTGAATGTATTGCTGGGTAATGTCAATGAGAAAAGCAGGGCAGATGGGGGGAAAGAGGAGGTGTGTGTATTTAGACAAAACAATAGGGACAGCTTCTTTACATGGTGTATAGAAAGGATCTATACAGGGTTTTCTTTTAAAAAAAAAAAAGTGTTCCTAGAACAGGAAAGGAATTAAAGTTGTCATGTTTAGCAGAGAGATAAGGGAGCACTCAGCACACTCCTCAACACCCCGACTGTCTCCATAGCAATCACACTGTGCTGATCAGGGAAATGTTCCCTGTGCTGGAGGCTCCGCAGGGAGACGCGGGAGCACAATCAGTAGGTAACAATCTCATCTGAAAGGCAAGAAAGCTGCACAGGGAGCTGAGAGAAGGGAGCCATGTTTTGCACCCCTAAAGGTCAGGTATTTATCTTTAGCAAGTCGTGATTTCACCCAGGATGCTCAAAACCAGACCTGACCGTGCAAAACAAACCGTGACTAATAATTACGTCACAGATTTGTTCTCGTTTTAGGTACTTCATGTTTGCAGGAGTTACATATTATTGAACACATCAAAAGGTAGGACCTGAATGACATGTAATACAGAAAACAAAAATTACTCTTCAGAAGCAGCATTTTACTGTTGGGGGGCTGTTGGGATTTCAGGGGGATGCAGGGTTGGTTTCTTTGGGTTGGGACATTGTTTGTTGGTTGGTTTCTTTGGGTTGGAACGTTGTTTGTTGGTTGGTTTGGGGTTTACAGTTTCATTTTTATTTTAATGTGTGAAATAAAAATGAGAAGTAAGGAAGACTTGCTAAAATTATTTGTCAATGTCCCAGGTGAAATAAAAATGATCTAATTAGTAGGGATGTGTTAGAAATATTCTTCCTCCACTACCATCCTGCACTTGATCTTACAACCTTCTCTGGACAGCAGTTTCCTGTATTTCTGAACAGAAAAGTGGCCATTCTCAACACCAGTTTAACTCAGAAGCCACAAAAGGAGACAAGTGTGATTATTCTCATCAGATGGCACTCCCAACCACTGTGTTGATGGACTACTTACTCTAACATTAAAATCAATTATAAAAAAACCCAGGATCTGGTTACATTAAAGCACAACAGAACTGATTCTCATGCCTGAGGAGAAGAGTTCTTAAAAAAAACAAGAACAAACCTAATGATGTTTTACCTTTTCCTTATTAATATTAGTAACATTATTAAAAATAATTGATGTTTTCCTGTATTCTCTACATAACTTGAAGATACAAAGACCCATTCCCATTTTCTGGTACGTACCGTTTCTCCACCTGTTCAGCTCCAGCTCCAGGTGCTGGATGACATTCTTTAGACTCTTGTTTTTGTCTTTCTCCTTCTCATACTTTTTCTTCCACTCCTCTGCAGTCAGCTCCAGATTCACAGAGACCGTGTTCTTAATTGTCTTGGCTCTGTGCAACAAAACCAGGTGTCAGGTGCTCTGCAACTTTTCTCTCAATACAACAGCAAGGATTCAGGAATTTTTTCCACAACAGAAAGGGAAACTACTAAATATTTGCCATTTCTTTTCTAAAATGCAGTGCCACAGCTCCATTTTCTCTCCAGCCCTCAGCAGCAGCATGACAACCTGGAAGCCTGAACAGAATTTTTTCCATGGGAAAATCCAGTAACAAGTGACCTGGAGCAGACATGGATCTCTGCAGATTCCTCCAAAAAGAGAAGCTCTGGGGACTCTTCTTAGATTAAGGACAAAACCAAGCCCAGTCATTATTACTCTGCTAGGTAAGGTGTCACCTTGCAGCTTCTCTTGGCCTGGGACCCACCACAGATTACCCCACACCAGCATCTGACCACGGGCTCACCCCATCCCTTTTCAACCACCCCCTCAACTTCACCAGCGAAATTCAGCTCCATTTCAAGCATCGTAGCACGAAGGATGACAAAGCAGTGAAGCTGAGATAGAGAAACTTCTCCTCCCTGAAAGCCAAACAGGGCTTGCAAATACATTTTTTGGGGGTGGAAAGAAGGGAAGGAGGACAACCACTGGTCACCAGGAGGTAACTGGGATACTGCTGGGCTGAGGAAAGCTCTCAATGGGAAGGGAGCCTGGACTTGTGCCTGTGCCACCGTGGGCAGGCTCACGAGTCACTGCCTCTCCAGGCAAGAATCCCCAAATTTAAACCCTTCTAACAACAACCACCACCACTTCACTATTGTCAAGCTGCTTAGCTCCAACTGAACCTCAACAATTGTGCTAGAAAATGCAAAGCCAGCAGAAAAAAAATGCACAGCACTTACTCGAGCAAATCCACATTTAAAAAGAAAAAGCAAACAAATCAGTATGAATTAAGAAAGCTTCAGATCTTTGCCCTCCAATGCCCAGACTCTGTGTCCCTCCAAATAACTCCAGTGGTTTCAGATAAAACAGAGACTTAAGTAAAGGAATAACAGACCAACCTCCTACCAGTTTGGAAAGTGTAGGCTGAAATGCCAATACAAGAAACAAGGAGGAATCAGCTCTAGATGCAGGGGCCAGCTCTCCTTTGGGGAGGGCACACCATCTTAATTCTTATCTGCACAACTCCCACTTAATGATGCTAGAACATCCTTTAAATCCTAACATTTCTGTTTTGTCAGCAAGATAACACTCCTGTATCTGTGCCTCATACTCCAAACTGTGCTCCAGTGATTGGAACTATAAAAAGCAGGAATTTTATTATCTTAGAATTATCTTAGATATCTTAGAATTATCTTATTATTATCTCAGAAATACTTAAAAATAACCTTGTACTTTTAAAATAAGGAGGTGCCTAATAATTAACTTCTACATACTGTCTTCTTTACCTGGGGAAAAAATGCCACACCATAAAGCTCATCAACTGTGTTACCCTAATGATGGATGAAGCACTTCCTAGCAACTACAATGGAAAATAATATAGAAAAGCCACAAGAAAAGGTGGAGCAGAAAAAAGAAGCCAGCTCACCACTAACACCAGCATATGCTGATTAGTGGGCCTGTGAGGATGAATTTTACTCCTAACACTTGTCTTAATGGTAATGTAACTCTTTCTGGCTAGGAAAGATGGAGGGACCAGTAATCACCCATGACTCATACACCTTCTCTGTAATGTTGTTCTTCAGGCCCTGAACACAGTCACATCAGAAAAATGATACACCACAACCAAAGAGCCTGTAAAAGAAACCACTTCCAGTAGACAGCAATATTTCTGTCCAAAATGCTGACAAGTGACACTGTGTATGCACAGGATGTGCTGCTCTGCAGGTCTGCTGCATCACCACTCCTCCTGCTTGCATTCTCTTCCTTATTTCAGCCCAATTCTATAGATTTTAAACCAAAAAAACCCACAATAAACACTAACCAAGCTCCCTCACAAAGTATTGAGCTATTTCTCCAGTTCTTTCAGCTGACATCCTTGTCCTCAGGAAGGAATATTTTGAAAAGGTTCCTCTTCCTAGCAAAGTCTTAGCCAGGTCACATTACAGCCAGGATGTGAAAAGTTGGTTTGAAAATCATTTTGCCCCAAACAGAAAAGCAGGTTTTACCCATTACTGAACTGAGAAATGAAATGAAGTGAAATGTAAACTGAAAGAACATGGAAACTGGAATTCCTCTACATATGCTTCTTTTAGTACCCAACCTACAACTTCCCAGAGATCCTGGAGCCCTGTTATGCATTACAGAACAAAAGCAAACCCCTTCTCATGTAGCCTGCAAAAATGAAAATCATTTATCATAAAATACCCTTTTGGCTGCCTTACTGCCCTGGAGCCTTATGAATGAATTAGCAGGAACTTTGGGACCACTCTTGTGTCCTACAAAGGTGCAAGACTTACACCCAACTGGAGGTTTACAGTGTGAGCTATCAAAGCAGTTAAACTTTTACCAGCACCAAGAACTGTGTAACTCGTTATACTTCAGAGTGGTTAATACCTCATTGAATTACTGCATCTTAATATTTGCATGTACTCAAAATGTCTGTGATGCACATTGTAACACCCAGGGTTTCAGTAGAAGCTTCTGTCTTCAATAACTTCAACTTATGTCCATCATACAATGGAGAATTAAACCTGCCTAGAATTAAACCTTAACCTGCTGATATACTAACCACCACTTCCTCCTTTTCCATAAAAACTTCCTGCAGTGACCCCTGAAGCTCTCTTTGGGGAGCTTTTCCTGCATGCTGCTATTGAAGAGAGCAACTCCTAGGAAGGACAACCTATAGGAAGTGGAGATCAGAGGAACTGGTGCTTCTGCAATGACCTGGGTCACTCCCCACCTTCCACAGATCCCAGCAGCAGATGCCAAGGACAAGTCAGTGGTGGTGCTGGCAGTGCCAGATGGGGAGTGTGTTGCAGAACTGCCAGCCAGCCCTACCCTGCAGCAGTTCTCAATCCCCATTGTCCCTTCAGAAGGACTGCACCCACCTGCAGCTCTGCCCTGCACCCACCTGCAGCTCTGCCCTGCACCCACCTGCAGCTCTGCCCCAACATGTACATACTCTCACACTAAAGGGATCATGTTCATGAAAATCTTAGGAAAGCTCACAGGAAAGGATAAAAGTGGGGCAATGACTTAATAGATTGTCAGATGAATCCTTTATACATGACTTTAATTTCCAATACAAAATGCTTCTATCTTAGCAGTGTGGGCTTCAATGCAAAAATTCTGCATGGTGGAAAGCAACTCATTTTCAGACAAACTGATCCTATTGTACAGACTGTTAAATAAATTCTGTTTCAAGCAATCAGAACTTGCTAGTATTTTCTTCTTTTTGCTGTTACACAAATAAAGCAAAATTAGCAATTTTCCAAAGTACCAAAGTTCTCCTCAATTACAATCAAAAGCAGCAATTATGTAATGAGCCCAACCTATTTTTGCAGACCTTCCAAATGTATTTTATAGTATTATTGCCAAGGAACACATATGGAAGAGAAATTGTCTTTCTGAATATTTCCACACTTTGTCCTTCCTTGTTTCTGAGGACTTGTTCCTAAATTGTTAAGACTCTTCAAACATAAAAATGTCCATGAGCTACCATGGGAATCTATCAAAGCTGTCAATATTACACTGTGCCCACACTCTTCATTTTTCTGAATGGTTAAAAACCCCACATTTTACAACCCTAACAACAATCCCTGAGATGCCAGGAGAAGACACATCTTAAAAGCATCAAGAGCAGTATCAGACGAATCAAAACTGAACCTTTTCCACTGGGTCAGCCAAGAGAAATCTGCCCAATACCATCATCTTCCCCATAAAAAAAAAAATAGCCAAGAGAAATCTGCCCAATCCCATCATCTTCCCCATAAAAAAAATCCAAAGAACTAGGATAACTCTGTACTTTTGCAGGAACAGTTACCAGAGCTTCTAAGCAGTGCAGCTGCTGGCCAAGTTTAACATTTATTTTTCTGATATCATAGAGAACGAAGAGAGAGTTTTCTCAGCTTCTCCAGTATTATTTTTTTAATAGCTCCAGAAACAATAACCTCCATATTTTAAAATGCCTGCTCATCTTCCCCCTTGGCATGGCTGCCTCAGAACACATGGAAGAGCCCAAGAAAGCCTCATCCAGCTCAACGCCAAGGAGGACTCACCGCTGCCCGAACATCAGGGTTGACTTTGTTTCTGCTTCATTGAACACAGAAGGAGAGCAGCATATCACGATGGTGGTTCTGCAGTTCCCACCCAGGGAATCCTGAAGGATTCGGGTCATTTTGCTGTCTCGGTATGGAACGTGAGTTTTCTAATCAAAACACAAAGAAGAGGCAAGAATAACTGTTTTTAAGCAACGACATCATCATGAGAGAGAACATAAGTTGGCAATGACAGGTTTAATGGATTTGAAGCATGCAGTCCTGAAGAGTAATTGTTTTGATTGTGCTAAGATGAGATAATCAAGTGAAATCACTGAGAATTAGTTTCTTATCTTTAGTGGAACAGCAGAAGTGCCACTGGTTTGTGGTTGGAAAGCAACCACTTTCTTCTTGCTGAACTGAAACGTTCGCTGACTTTTTTATGGCCATGGCAAAGAACCAGCCAGATAAAAAGCCATTCTTCAACAACACAAAACAGGATTACTTACAGTTCCTTCTGCCAAGGCAGATATCACGTTGCCTAAAGCAGACAAAGACTTATTGATATTTTTAGCTTCATCCAGAACAGCCCCCTCTGCGCCGGTTTTGCTGACCTACCAAAGAGAGCAGGGAAGAGTCAGGCCCAGCTGCCAGCTACAGGGCACAGAGTGCAACCACTAGAGATGCTCTTGGAAGACAAACCAATCAAGCTCATCCTCAGCATGAAGGAGATCTCTAGATGCCCTTTTCTGTTAGTAGCAGCCTGTCATGCTTCCAACCTTGCTTCCAGTGTAGCAGCAAGTTGACCCTTACCTTGTTGAGGGAAAAGCTGTTAAGTTCCTGCTCTTCTGAGGGACCTGGGGACTACTTTCAAGACCAGACTGTCCATACAGATAGGGAACACCACAGTTATGTTCTCAGGGCACAGTGTACACCACTTGCTTGGCTTTGCATTTGCCTTGCATGGACCAAAAATAGCAGGACAGAAGAAGTGTGATTTCACTCATCCCAACTGCAAAGTTTGCTGGTCCACAACCTGGATCCCCAGGGGACCCAGGCAAGAAGCTTGGTGGCCTGGGACCAGCACTCCTTTAGATAGCATCACAGTTTTATAGCCTTTTCTCTTTCCTTTTTTGTCTGGGGGGGAAGTGGGGTAGGTGGGGAAAGGCCCAGAAAAGTAGGATAAAGCCCTACATTTTTCTCTACGTTAAAACTACAGTATTGGTACTTCCCTCTAAAAATGCCACATGACAGACAAGGAAACATAATTGTGCCTTTTAAGAAGACAATCTACCAAGGAAACACTTATCTCAGGTTTTCTGAACAATGGCCAAACAAACCACAAAAGTGTAGTTGTCAGAGCAGAGCCTGACCAGGCACACATGTTTTACTTCTTATTTTAACATTTAGTATTATGTGCAATAATAGAAATTACCAGGATTAATTACTCTGGTGAATGGCTTCTGGATTGTACCTATGGGTTGTCAACTAGTGTGTCCCAATGAGCAACCTAAAAGGTCCAAACATCATCTTTCATTTTCTCATTTGCAGTAAGAAATAGAAATCTGTGGCCACAACAGGAGGCATCACTTCATCAGGAGTAATTCCTTTGACATGCACAGGAGCTACTTAGGGTCCAGCTTGAATACAGAATTCCACAGCATTGTAAAATAAAAAGGTTCATCATTTCTTAATTCCATTTACAGTTAAATGATTTTGAACATTCCAGAAGATGTTAGAATGAGATCTGGGAAATAAATATCTATATATATATTTCTGGAAAGCAGAAATAGTCACCACAATCCAGAGAGTCATTCAGGGAGCTTCAAATAGATTTCAGCTGTAAAACTGCATTAACTACTGTTATTTCATTGATCTCAGATGTGAAATAATTACAGAAAACCTAGAAATGGGACATGCCTGAATATAAGCAAATTAAAATAGCTGTCTAATTTGACAAATTACATTAAAATGACGTTGCTTTGTCAAATACCCATAGTTAAATGTGAAACTATATAGAAATACCCTGGTTCAATCCACTTCAGTAAATGCAAACACACTGCAAATGTGGAGGGCTTCCATTTCATACAATAGTTCTGATTGGCTCTTCTTCTCCATCTCACACTAACAACAACAACAGGCTGCCATACTCTTGATAACCTAAGAGAAAACTCAAACCTAACTTAAGTTTTGCACCAACACACCCCCATGGTCAGTTTAGTGACCCCACCAGCATGATCCAGGAAACAGGCAACTTTACCTTCTCACTTCCAGCCAAGTCCACCAGGTAAAGCTTCCCACTGAGCTTCTTCTCAGTTTCCACATTCTCTTGTTTAATATTAATGAGGAAGATACTGTGGCTCCTAGAGCTGTGTTCATTCATATCTGCAGAGGAATCACATTGGAAAGGTTTTGTCTAAATGTCTTTAAAACCTGATGGGAAATTATACTCCATTGGAGCTCCCCTTGAGCCAACAAGGCCATTCCCAGGAGAGCCCAGAGCTGTGTCTACACCAAGAGCTGCAAATAAAGCTCATGGACTACAGAATGAGCTCCTGCTTTCTCCCAGCATGACCAAATGAACCAGATTCATGAGAAATGACAGCCTTCATATAAAAGGTTTGGATTTTTTTTCTTCTTCTTTCTTCCTTGAAAGTTTTTTTCTTTTCCCTGGAAGTAATAAAATTTGACCAGAAATGGTAAAGAATAGTAATAAAAATTGTAGCCTAAGAATAATAAAACAACATTATACAGATTCCCTAAGAAATAAATGTTCTATCCTTTTATGTTTCTTCATGAGTGCAGACAGCTCACATAAGCTGCTGTAATAGAGACTATTTAGACACAGAACAACAACGAGGGGGTATGTTCAGCATCCTGGACAGAGGCACAATTTTGAGCTGAGCAAGAGAATTTCAAGAGAAGTAAAAATAATTGCAATGATGTTGGGCAGGTCTCAGTGCCAATCATGAGAGATCTCCCAACATGTTGGCAAACACTGTCATCAAACCCACACTATTCAAACTCAGATTTCAGAGTGATTTTTATTGCTTATGTGGTTAAAAATCCTCCTGCATCCTGGCAGAACAGGTAGCTACAGTTTCAGCCTCCACTTATTCTTGATTGTACTCTTGTTATGTTTGACATTTCATCAGGTAGGAAAAAGAAACTATTAAGAATCAATAAACCACTTTCTCATGTCTTATTTATTTTCTCTGTTACCACAACCCCCACCTTTCCCCCATTCCCACCCAGGTTCATATTTCTCTGAACTCCCTGTTTCTCCTCCATCTCCCAACTCAGTTTTTTCCAACAACACTTCCAAATTTGTGCCTTGACATTCCAGTCTAGGTAAAATCCATTCTCTGTCAACTTTTGTCAGAACTTTTTGGTGTGCACCAGATGCAACAAATAGTGGCACAGCAAAAGGAACAGGGGGATATTTTTAGTTAAAGAGAAGAAACAATGGGAGGAAATGTTACTCAGAACAAGAAGAATACATTTCTCCTAGTATGATGCCTGACATTTGCCCAGAGTTGCTCCAAGTTCTTGACTTGTAGCACAAAGAAGAACATATGTGTATCATTTCAGTTATACATCATTTCAAAATACCTGTATTGTATCTAACAATACATATGCTGACATTTAATTTACCATATAATGCCATGTATTTGATTCATAAAATTGTAGAATCATTAAGGTTGGAAAAAAACCTCTAAGATCATCAAGTCCAATTGTGAACCAAACACCCCTGTGCCAACTAAACCATGTCCCAAAGTGCTACGTCTGCACCTTTTCTGAACACCTCCAGGGATGGTGACTCCACCACTTCTCCAGGCAGTCTGTGCCAATGCTTGACCACTCTTTCAGTAAAGGAATTTCTTCTATTATCCAATCTGATTTCAACCATTTCAACCAATTCAGGTGTTCTCAAAGCTGGAAGACTCAATAAATGTCTCTGTAGGCAGTGAAGCAATAAAAAAAGCCCAGCTCTGCTCATTTCAAAGCATGATGATTTGTGCATCATTAGACGGTTCACATAAGTAATTCAAAGTACTTTGTGAACATAAAGAATCAATACAGCACTAGAAGCTACAGCCACCCCTACTTGTTAGCTAGAAAAGCCTCCCCAGAACACTTACTTGTGACTGCTACGTGACGGTTGGCTTTCCCTTCATCAATGACATCCAAAACTTCTTCAGGACTAGATACAAATCTTTCTGTGCAACCCTAGAAATACCCAAGTTGAACACAGAACAATTTAGGAAGTGTCCCAGTACTCAACATTTCATCAGGGAGAATATTTAGCACTGAAGAACAAAATGATTTGAAGAACCACCAACATCCAACGGGATCATTTGCAAGGCAATGGACCAAAAATGTGTCTTTGTATGACTTCCAGGAGGAGCCTACAGGACAACTTCAGAGACAATTTCCTTTCACAAGATGAAAGACTCAGTCAAATCCAAACATGCAGCAGAAGAGACTTTCTGTTCTTAGCACATATGGAATGATATGGTCTATATTCCTGTTACTAATTTGGATCAGATTACATACCCAAATTAGTTTTCCTCTCTCAAACTATAAGACAAGATGTATAGTCCTTGTTCTCTGCCTTCATGCAATATTCCTGAAGGAATTACTTTATCTTTTTGTTTTTTTATCTTTTGCCCTACCCAGGATGAGAATTAACAGTACTATATGTATGTTATTACAGCACAGAAATGTTCATAACAAGTATACTACATTTAAGTGAGGGCCAAGGAAGTCACAGAATAAATTCCTCACCCAACAAATCTCTCCTAAGGTATTGCCAGATCCCTGGGTCTATGCAACAGAGCAGTAGACAATATAATTCTTTAAGATGTTCTCTTCACATCCAACAAAGCAGTAGACAATTCTTTAAGATGTTCTCTTCACATCCAACATGAAATAGGAATATGAATACCTCACAGCATACTACAAAAACGTAAAATTTTAAAGTCAAGAAAATAAAGAAACATGACTCAAACCCATTCATATTTCAGGAGACTCTTTAAGTCCAGGCACCAGCGCTTCTTAAACATTCACGACTTGAACACGCATTGAAGCATCTCAGCACATGCACTGGGATGCAAATGGAAATGTGTAAATAGATGCACATGTGAAAAAGCATGGGGAAAAAAAGCATCAAATTCTCCTTGTACCTTAACATATGGGACTCTGTTTTTATCTTCATGTACAGCGAGGTTTGTCTTTGACACTAGAAAAGAAGATGGAGATCACTAGGAATATTCCACGGGTAACAAGGTGTCAACTCCAGGCACAGCAGACAAATACCATGAATATATTACACTTGTAAACGAGCTCAGCAGTCACTTCCAACTCCTTATTAACTCCCTCAGCTTCTGCGACATGAATCTTGTTTCCTGTTCTGTAAAGCTTCTATCTGATTCTTGAAAGTTCACTTGATGGCACAAGAGCTTTTGTTTATTGCGGGGATAAATAAAACACAGACCAGGATAAACAGCAAGACTTTCAAAAGGAAGGAGAACTGACTGGAATTCAAATAGGTGTTTCTGGCTTTGTGTTACCATTAGCATGTTTCTCTGTCTTCAGACACACAATTCCCCCTTTCATTAAGATCCAGCACAGATATACAGACACACTGATTGCAAAAGAGACAGGTAACTCCCAACAAACTCTACCTAAGAGAAGCAAAGCAAGGAATAAGTTGAACCAAATGTATTCTAAGTTGATAAAAAAAACCCTCAACTGAACATTACATACATTTTTAAATTCCAGATTTACTTTACAAATGCACATTGCCAAGGAGGCTCAGACATGCCTTGAAGCCTGTAAAATTCTCTATACTCACTGATCTATAACCAAGCTGTGTAGCACTGCAGGGGTAGGTGCAAAAGACTCAGAGATCAGATGACTTAAACTGCAAAATTCTCTTTCACAAACCCAGTCATGCAGCTTAAATTTAAATACTCCCAAAGAAAGCAACCATTTTCCCTTAAGCATCAATTCAAAGCAGGGTACCAAGCCAAACACCACTTGGTGACACCAGAAATGCAGAACTTACCATCCAGTAGGTCCCTTATTTTGTCCAAGTATATCTCAAAGTAGGAAACCTAATTGAGTAATCAGAAACATGACAGATTTAAACTTTGGCAATTTTAAAACCTTTGTATCTGTCAAAATAAAAAAGCATCAAGCTAAAAATAAAAGCCACTTCCCACACAGCCTGCATTGCATCTTTCACGTGAACATATTTGCATTTTGAATGATTTACAAGTAATTGATCTTTTTTTTCCATTGAGCAATGGACCATCAGGAAAGTAAACCAGAAAAAGTTCAGACCAAACTTCTTTTCATCCTTTTTCCTTCACATAGGCAACATGGACAAAAATATGGCACAGGATCAGGTCAGTTTGAGTTGCATCCTATCAGTGCAGCTGCATCACAAGGAGGGTAGATTTCAACAGCTGTAAGAGGCACATTGATAATCACCAGCACTGGTTTAACACCCAACTTACATAAACCTAAGCAATAAAAGATTTAGTTAAAGTTTTAAATGAAGCTTATGTAAAAGTTCTGTCTTGATTCAAAGTCCTAAAGAAGAAACTGAAACTGAGCTTTTTGTGTAACAAAGAGAGAGAGAATTGTTTTCCAAATAAGAACTAAAAAAAAAGAGGAAGGCAAGGGAGGATTTATGAATGACTCTAAACAAAAGGGTATTTGATTCACAGAAGCAAACAGAAGTGTCTTAGGGAGGTAGTGTCTAACCATACCCTAAATCATCTTTATCCAGGGATTATTTAGCTGGAACCCTAGATGGCTACATTCTAGATATCAGGAATTTCTACCTATTTAGTCAAGTATCATTTCCTCTCATGTGGAAAATATATGTTAACTATTTTTTTAGGCTGATGAGTTGATCTTCCTATGTAACAACTGCTGTTAAACACAGACCTGTTTTGCTTTTGTGCATTTCCTTCACCTACACCCCCTTTAAAGCCATCCCCTGGACCAGCTCATATCATCCATTTGGTTCAGCCAGACTTATCCCATGTGCTTTATATCATCCTATTAACCCAACTGCTGGGGACCAACACACACTGGAGATCTCAAATTCCCCTCCCTGTTCTAAATGAGTCTCTATTAAAGAGGGAGAGAAAAAATTATATTCATTTTCAGTGTTGGCTCAGTTATTAAGAGTGTGACAGTTTGGTTAAACTCTTGCTCCCAATGACAGAACAAGCATTCCTCTCTGTGACAGCTCCTTGTACAATCACTCACTCATTCACTGCTACTTAGGCAGCTTTTCTGTTAAGATATTCATAAATGTCAACTATGATAGGAAACCACTGAAACAACCCAGTACTGGCAGAACATGATTTATACAGTAATCACCTTCTGCTGGGACAAGAATTTACTACATCTTGTACAAGGGGGTCCTCATCTGTTGGTATCCAAGTGCTATCATGTAGATTAGGAGCCACAGGAGAGCTTCAAACATCACAGAGGATGAAAAAAGACATCAGTGTCACTGCTCTGGAAGGCATTTCTATGAAAATTCACAGGTGTCTCTTCTTAAGGGGCTCAGTAGTTTATAATTAAATATTATTTTTATTTATTAAAATATATGTATTAAAATATTTAGATTGTTTATTTGTACTTGTTATGTTGCCTGCTTCTTCTGTCTTAGGGAGCACAGCCACAAACAGGCATTGCTGTATGAAGGTTCTCCATCTAAAATGACATATTCCTTCCAGAAGGTTGTTAATGAGTGCAAAGGTTCTCAGCTTGGGGAAAAATACATATATATGTGTGTGCCCCCAGAGATACTTCAAATGCTTTAATACAAACAGCACTAATTTGTCACTCTCCAACTTCTAGGCAGAAGAGGGACAGAGGAGGAGAGTTCTGTTTTCAGAGACCATTGCCTGGTCACAGCAGAAGAGACAGTGTTTTCACACTCTACCTGTGCTCAGCTACTCGACAGAACCTGCATATTTTGTGTGTTTTGAGGGGAAAGATGACACAGAGGAGCACTCACTTTTCCTGCAATCCACAGGATAATTTACTGACGTCCACTTAGAAGACAGTTCTACCCTGACCCCAACTCTGCCAGAAGGACCCCAACGTGGCTGAGAGCTCCCCAGGAGATCAGATGACAAGCAGGAATTAAAGGTTAGTCAAAAATATCTGACAGATCACATGACTGGAATCATGATAAGGAGGTGGAAAAACATGGTAGTTGTCCAAATCAAGACTTACTCCTCCATCTCCAGAAACCCACACATAGTGTTTGAGCTGCCATCAGTGCACTAGCAAATCTGAGCTGAAAACAGACTCAAAAAATTTTCTGTGAAAGGTCAGTTATTGTATTGGATTATTTCTAGTAAATGTCTTTAGTGAAGTGATGGGGTTAGGGAAGGGAGAAGGGAAAAACCCTGGGGGATGATGCTGTCACACGGGTGCAGGTTTCCCATCCCGCTCAACCTTCTTCCTCCCAGCCCGTTTTGTAACACATCATTCTGCATTTACCTTTATATGAAACTCCAGGTTTTCATCCATGGAATAGATGTGATCAAAGATGTCATGTGCAATTCTTGGGATGATTCCCATGAGCTGAGGGTCATGCAGCTTGCCCTGCAGACATAAAACCGTCCGTAACTTGGAAAGCCTCGCGCAGGCACCAGAGAGGAAAAAGTCTTGCCCAAACACACCCTCCTCCAGTGGGCCCTTCTTGATGTTCGGGGGGGAATTGCCTTGACAGAAGTGCCCAGAAAAGGAGGCAGAAGGACTGGCCATGTTAGCACCCCTCACCTGAGAGAGCATCTATTTGTTCTGTCAGCTCCTGCCACTGGCCAAGCGTGTGTCCTGCCGCTAAGGACACCCTCGCCCCTCGACTGAAGACAGACAAATACAAACATACAAACTACAGCCCAGTTCTCCCAGTTAAATCAGGTATTTGGAAACATGTCAGGAAGAAGTAGCAGGGAAGCGTTTTGTTTCTCTTTCACCGCTATGCTAGTAAGCTAAAGGGAAACCCAGGCTGTCGGGATTTGAGGATTAGAGTAATATATTCCGACCTGAGGTTGCTGGGCCTGCTGCCAGAGACCTGGGCCTTACAAACACTGCTGCTCTGCACAGCCATTTGCACAACCACCTTCCTCTGTTCTTTCAAGAACTGAATCTTAAATAAAAACAAGACATTCCCTGGCTGGTTGGCTCCTCTTTTTGAAAATGCTGGCCACGTACAGGAAACCTAACACCACTTGATATCTGAATAAAAATGTAAACTTGCAATAAAAACCTTTTCTGACTACAGCCTGCACTGTATTGTTATTTCCAAATGTCTTATGAAACTGCTTAAATATGCCATAACAAGTCAGAAGTCATAAGACTTCATCAGAACATAGAGTCTAGAGGCTCTAATACACCTTTTGAATCTACCTTTGTCCAAGTATTACTGCCCGTATCTGCACAACAAAGCATCTTATTCTAAATACTGGCAGGAAACTTAAGTTTTTCCTTTAAAATACACTGGGCAATCATACAAATCCAAATCATGGGAAGCCAGATTTGAGCCATACTTGCTAACAATTATTAATCACCAACCATTTCTAGCCAAATAGGAAGAAAATCATACATGGGCACGTGTTTCTCAATACTACACACTTGTGAGTGACTAGTGGGTCACATTGACCTGTTCTCCAGGTTTCCCAGCCTTTATTAGTATACTCAAATACAGCCTTACTAGCCATAACTTCCTTTATGCTAAAGCTGCTGAAATGCCAGTCAACTCGTAAGCACCAACCTAGGATGAAGAAAACTTCACATTTAACCTCAGGAAGTTTGGAGAAAGGCACTGCTGCTGCCACTGCAGTTAGTAAACTCCCCAAAGCACCAGGATAGAGAGTTCTCTGCTCATTAAAGCCTCTCATTTTAATAAGAACATTAATTTCCACATTTCCACCTAGCAGGCAGGCAGTAGCTGGTGAAGTGTAACATTTGAGAGAGTGCTGGTTTATTAGGAGATGTTGACATGTACAAGTTGTAGGGACCCTCTACTGAAAATGCTATTGCAAGGTCAAAGCCCATAAATATAATCTTATGAGCAAAAAGACTTTATTTTTAAGAAGGTTTTGGTTATATCCTGCTACATAGGTTGCCAAATGTGTTATCTAGCAGAGGAAGGCCCATGTATGTCAGAAAGCCTCCACTGGCTACATTATACTGCTGTGTCCTGTTTAAGCTTAACACTAACAACCTGGAGCATTTCACATTTCACAGAAAATCCTCCATAACAGCTTTACCAAGAGGATTTACTACTTCTTCAACTTCAGACTATTTTTTCTTCCACAACATATTTTAGCAATTTTACAAGAGGATGTCAGGTTAACAGGGGGATTAAAACTGAATATAGATTTGAATCCACTTTAAAATGACAGCTCTTCCTTTATTAAAGGAGTAAACCAGCCATTTTTTTCTACAGTCATTTTCTTTATCACAGCTTGTAATTCTGAATATAAATTGGCTTTAAGAGATCCTTCCCTATGCCATGTGGAAGCACCAGCTCAAGCCCTGCAGACATTTTGATTTAATTACATTCAGAGCTGGTGGATTACTCAGCCACTGTGCCATCTGTGAGGGCTGAGCTAGTCATTTCCCCCATCCTCCCAAGGACAGACTTAATGAGATGTGAGGCATCAGTTCCTGCATCCTCCAGGAAAGGAGCAACTGTGGCAATCCAAGAGCAATGTCACCAGGGCCTGTTGGCCCCAGAGAAGATTGCTTTCCTTCTCCTTTGACCTTCAGGTTAGGTAGGTCACCTGTGTTAGTGGTGTAGCAAAACCATCTGATGCTGTTAAATAAATGAACACTCACTTATTCATTTCATTTAGCCAAACTTTGCTGTTGACCTCCTGTTTAAGTTCACATTTGAACTGAATTGTTCCCAGACATCTATACCAAGCTCGTTCTGCACTGTAGTGGAACAAGCCTGTACATGGATTCAATGCTTGGATGATCTTCCCTTTTTAGCAAGAGACTAAAATATCTACATGTCTCCTAACTGAACAGTTGAAGGAAAAAAAAAAAAAAACCAGCACAGGAAAAAAAACTACACTGTGACACTTTGTGTAGCAGAAATATGAACAGACTTGGGAGTTCAGCCACTGGATTCTGGTAGAATTTGTTACTCTTCTCCTCCAAAGCACCAATTCTCAAATCCATCCATCCGTGCTGCAGCATGCAAGAGTGGTATTCCCAGAAGAGGAGTGCACAGGAGAAACCCAATAACCCAGGCAGGAATTTTCATAATCCTGCATGCAAGAGAACTCTGCAGACCCTTATCACTGTTTTCATTTGTGGATTAACACATCTCACTCCAATCCTTTAGAACATACACATACCTAAACTGTTAGGACAAATAAGAAGCTATACTTGGCATTTTGCACTCAGCATTTGTTAGTTTAGCTAGATATCTGCAAACATGCCTTGAAAAAACTCCACATTGAAAGAAATACTTACACGTATCCTAAACATTAAAGAAAAAAAAAAAAAAACCAGCACAGGAAAAAAAACTACACTGTGACACTTTGTGTAGCAGAAATATGAACAGACTTGGGAGTTCAGCCACTGGATTCTGGTAGAATTTGTTACTCTTCTCCTCCAAAGCACCAATTCTCAAATCCATCCATCCGTGCTGCAGCATGCAAGAGTGGTATTCCCAGAAGAGGAGTGCACAGGAGAAACCCAATAACCCAGGCAGGAATTTTCATAATCCTGCATGCAAGAGAACTCTGCAGACCCTTATCACTGTTTTCATTTGTGGATTAACACATCTCACTCCAATCCTTTAGAACATACACATACCTAAACTGTTAGGACAAATAAGAAGCTATACTTGGCATTTTGCACTCAGCATTTGTTAGTTTAGCTAGATATCTGCAAACATGCCTTGAAAAAACTCCACATTGAAAGAAATACTACAGGCAATAGAAGCTAAAACATGGCCAGATCTCTTTTTATGTGTCACTCACAGCTGAGTGCTCCAGAGAGCTGGCTTGTTCAGGTAATTGGTACATGGAACTCTACTGCTGCTACCAGAATGATTAATCTTGGCACTGTACCTCCATAGTGTGTGTTTTTCCTGATGATGTCTGTCCATAAGCAAAGATTGTGCCATTGTAGCCTTCAAGAACATCTGCAAGAAAAAGGCAAACAATTAAAATGAATATTGATGCCTTAAGGCTGGGTTATCATCATTTCACCAATCTTCCACACTGCTGAAGCTCAATTACACAATAGTTTGCACAATAAAGACTGGAAAAGATACAGCAGAACTAGCTATCTTTAGGCAAAAGAAAGAAATAAAATTAAAATAATTCACAACAAAATCGAAATTAGAGAATTACAGAATTATTAGCATCTCACTATCCTGGGGGGGGAAAAATAAACCTCTGGGCACTAGATATTATCCAATATATCCATGGAACACGGGAAAGGAAAAACTTAATTGCCTGCATTTAAACCTTCATGCATGATAGAGAAAAATTAAACAAACTCAGACTGTATATTTCTGCTACTATATCACCCTCTACAGTTCATGGCCTCATTAATTTCCAAGTTTGCCTGCAAAGCAAGAGAGCAAAGCAAGAAGAAAGTCAGGCAAAGAGGAATTTGCTTTATTGAAAATACACTTCTCTCAAGGCAGAATGAATAATTTGATATTGCATGAAGATGTTAAAAAAAAATCCATTTTTAACTTTGCAGTGGTTAATGTCCACAGTAGCTTCCAGAAATCCAGGAGGGTTGTAAACCAGCTGGTTCTTAGACACAGCCCCATGTCCATGCATTGAAGGGATAGGGAGGACAATTAAATCAGGTGTTAGAAAAATATCAGAATATTGAGGAAGAAACAAGTGTGGAAAAAAATAGTGATAAAAAGCACAGAAGATTCAAAAGAAAAGAAATGGATAAAAAGAAAGGAAAGAGATTTTCCAAGACAATCAGAACATAGACCCGTATTTCCTATAGAGTAAGACTGAGTAAGGGTGGAATTGGAATAAAGCCATTTGAAAAATCTGTATGATAATTAAACACAGGATGTAATTGGTTAAATTGTGGCAGAGCCGGAGAGGACAGACTGTGGAGCTCCATGCTGGAGGTTGTACAGCCCTGCACAGAGTATTGCTGGGTAAGTTTCTTGAGTCTGTTTATAAAAATAGATGCACTGCTTCTCCTTGCTTCAAGGAAACAAGGTTTAAAAGAAGTAATTCTAAATAATAATTGCACAGCTAGAAAACCAGATGTCCAGCCACAGATGCAGCCCCATCCTGAGCTCGTGCCTTCGATTCGCAGTTTCACCACCAGGCTTCAAAACTGGGTCAAATTTCATTTTATTGGCATTTCAACACATTCATTCACCCGCTCTTTTCTGAAGGGAACATCTCCTTGATTTTCAGTGCAACACAGAATGAACTTGAGTGGAAGAGAAGGGCTAGAACGAGGGCAGCTTGAAGGCAGGGGAGAACAGGCAGCGAGCAGCGCTGCCGGCCCCGGCTGCGCCCCGGGCAAAGCCCATTTTTGCCAATAAATCCTGACCAGACACTAAGCACTGCCTTTGGAAGACATTAAATAAATGAGCAAGAGAATATGAGCTGCTTAGCAAATTCCTGAAGACTCTCGATGATCCTGACTTTCAAAGAAATTCTGCTCAGAGCTCCACTCAGCTTGCAGCCGTGGGGCTACCTTGGGCAGGGCAGGAGGAACACAATGCACAGCACCAAGGAGATGGAGAGAGATGCACCAGGGATCTGCAACCTAAGGGAGGTTATTTCTTGTCATCTAACACAAAAATATTATTGCCTTTTAAAAAGTTAATCAGATGAACACCAGATTTCAAAATAGCCTGTAGGTAAGGCAGCTTTTAATGAAACTATATTTAATATTTGTTTTCAATAAAAAGCTTAGTTGATGTTTTTCCTATCAAACACACATACAAGCACAAGAGGGAAGCAATCATATTTAACTTTTGAGGCTGCATCCATAAATACTCTGTTTCTATTGTGTAGAGAAGGCTCAGGAATCCTTGATCAAACAGGTTGAACTCCTGTTTGTTTCTAAAATACCACCTGGCATCCAAGCACAGTTACATGTAATCTGAGAGGTCACTGCTGCTATTTCCTCCTTTTGGCAAGCTTGGTTAACTTAAAAAGAAGTATTTCAAATAGTTTGAATTAAACAAAATAAAAAAAGAGGCAAATGCAATGTACAGTGTCAGCTCCAGGCTGGTACACAGCCTAGGGGGAAAATAACCTGATTGGTAACTGGTATGTAAGTGAATAGCTCAGAATGTACACCAGTGTCTGCTAGGATAGATTCTGCTTGAGGATGCATAGGTAAGTAATTCCTAATTAGCAAAAAATTACCTTATTCTATCTTAAAAAATAGTCCTTTGCATCATCTGCAATTAAAAAGTCAGTGGTCTCAGTAAGAGGTTATTTGTGTTGGAAGGTTTTGCACCTTAAGATAGTTAATACACCATCTGTCAGCTGAATGAAGAGAGAAGACAGTTCCTGACAGCCCCAGCCTGCACAAACCTGAAGAGTATGGGAGAGGGAGAGAACAACTAGATGAACAAAATGACCAACCAAGGATCAGTTGGGATTTGTACACAGCTTATCAGAAACAAAAACAGCCTTAGTGCTTTTCTTAATTCCTTGTCCAGCCCTCTCTACAGTGGTTTTCAGTTACCCTCCCCACAAAGGCAGGCAGCTCCACGAAGCCTCTCAGGTGCTGCCAGATGGCTTTTTTCCTGAGGAGCAGTGACAGGGCCAGCAGCAGTGGCCTCAAACCACAGCCCTTCAGTGGGAGCTACAAAACAGACTCGCTCAGGTTAGGGACCCAGCAAGTCTTTCCAGCAGGAGTGCCCAGCAGAGCACTGCAACAAATGGCCAAGGACAACTGCAGGCTGGAGACCTTTCAGATGGACTGCTGATAACTCCAGGAGTCCTAATGGCAAGAAGAAGAAAAACCAAATGGCTTTAAGCAAGTCCTTTCAGCCTCATTTCTAGGAGCAAAATTTTAGCTCTATACTTATCTTTTCCATCTCTTAACTTCCTAGTTCTGCAACTCAGCATTTGAGGCCCATACTTGGAACCAGAATAGAAAGATAATAAGTGAGATATAATAGAAATAATAATAAGTGAGAGCAATCCTACCACCCAAAAAAAATCACTAAAGCAATTTTCTCCTCCTCCCAGGACACACAGATGTGCAGATGTTCACATGTGCACTGATGTGCTCACAGCCCCAGTGCTCTGCAATAGCCTGGGCCATTATATATTCTCCTCTCAGTGTAATTGCAGAGGAGATGAGGAATCTGGATAGGGATATTCATCTGTGTAGACTGAGAAGATACAGCTGTTTTCTGGCAACAGGGAGCAATGGGAAACAAAGCAGAAGTGGTGGCAATCACACACTATTGTTTTCTTTCAGACGTAGTGACATTTCTTAGTTTGGGTGAAAAAATGCAAACCCAAGTTCCCTAACTGTGCTCATACACCAGTGATGACATCCCATTTACTTCCACTAAAGGTACTGGTGCCTTTGGGAGTACCTTGAACAAACACCATCCCAGTGCCCACCCCATGAAAATCACTGTAACACAAAGATCCCTTCTCCCCCTCTAGAAACTTCCTTCTTTCTCGTGTTTCTTACACATGGAGTGTGAAATATTTTGACTTAGTCCTTCAGCAGTTCACTTAAAATTAATCTCATTTTTTTTCAGTGAAAAAAGCCCAACTAATTTAGATCTTTCTTACTGTCAACATCATTATTACAACCATTGTCTGGGAGAGTCTTAGGCCAGCTGGCATTTTCTGTAATAATGTTAATCACAATGAAACCACCAGCCATTTCATGGGAGCATAATGAAATCTGATAACAAATGGTAACCTTGAAAAGCCACCTGAAAGAGTCTCAAAGATGCAAATAGTGCTTCAGGTTGCAATGCCTTCAGCTCATGTTTCTATGTAGTAAATGACATTGTTTCAGTCTAGCAGGAACAGCCCAGTCCATTTCACATTCTTCACTTTATGAGGCTTTAAACTGGAAATTAAATGTAAGGAAAAATAAGCCTAGAGCTCAAGAACATCACTCCAGGATGCTGTGCTCTCCTTACCTCCTACCCTATCTTACAGTCACCTTCTCTCCCTCCCTGTCACTCTCCTCACTTTCTCTTCTCTCTTCACATTTCTCTTTTCCCTCTTTTACACCCTTCCCTCCCCCCATCACACTTGCCTTTCAAGTTATCTAGAAGGTTCCAGTTAACACACATGCAAAAACATGTTTGAATTCTATTTTCAAACATGACCTTGGAAACTATGTGCCTTTCCATTTGGCTAACAAAGACTTAGTCACTGAATTAGCTCTTCCAAATTGCTGTCAAACAGGATTTTTTTGCTCTCACCATTCTCGGAGGAAACCAACTTCCAAAGGGGATATAAATTCCCTCTGCAAGCCTGCAAACAGCAAACACTGTAGTATTGAAACAGCTCCCCAAACTTCCCAAAGTAGAGTGGTGTGTCAACAACCAGAACTAATGATTTCTGAGCTCTGCAGCTCCAGTGCCACCATTTTTTATTAAAGGCTTACCCATCTGAAGTCAGAATCACCATCATTAGGCTCCCTGCTGAGAAGAAGCAACTGAGGTCTTACGACTCATTTCCTCCCTCCAACTTCAAATAGTTCAGCTTCTGGTCCTCCCCCTTAATCACCCAGACTGTTGGTTTGCTCCAGGCTGCCCAAGTGAGCCTACCAGTTTCCTCCAGAACAGAGCCCAGGGTCTGCAGCAGGGCTGCTCACCCCAGGGACTTCTGCCCACCAGCAGACAGACAAGCTCTCAGGAGATCCAGCTCCACACCTGAAAGGCTAGTGAGTCCTTCAACACTGCTTCAGTGGCTCCCATTCCTCTGAGCAACCCCAAATCTCTCACGCCACATCAACTCCACTGTGTTCAACAAGCAGCCTTGCATTGCCCTGCAAGCACAACTCTGACAGCATTCCCACTGCCTACACAATGATTTAAAAACAAAAACTGAGGATCAAATCTGGGAGGGCACACGGATGCCACATAAGCCCAGGGAACTCATAACCCCTGAGATGCTGCAGCATTTGTAATGCCCCCATGGATGGACTATCCAGCATCAGAACCAAGAGGGAGATCTGAGGGTGATTTGGGAGGTGGGGGAAGTATGGCAGGCAGTTAAAATGCACTCAAAAAAGTTGGATTCCCAAGTTAAAATCTTGGCACTTGAACAGTTTCTGAAAGTTTGTTTTAAACAAACAGGGTGCTATCCAACAGGCACTTGTGTTCTCATCTCATTTTTAAATGCAAGCCAACGCAAAGCAGCTACAATACTAGTGCCTTCTACATTTTCCTTCAATGGTTTTCCTTCCACCCAAAGCACAGCCATTCCACACTTATCCCCTACTGAGCAGTCTGACTCTGCATGAAGAACATGCTTTTGGTTGCTTATCACTTACCACAAAAAGCAAGTATTTGGAATAACAGTCACACACAAGAAGAAAGTGAGGAACAACTACTGCAACTCCTTCAGCTCTTTGTTTGTTTCTGTTTGGTTTGGGTTTTAACACAGACAACTCCTTAAAAAAAGGAAACGCCTGGAATTACTGATTTCTAAACTCCCATACAGACATCTAAACACTTATGATCCTGCCTGCAAACAACTTGAGGGGACAGGGAGACATCTCTCTACCTCCCCCAGAGCAGGAAGAAAAGAAGATGACACCTACCTTTAACAATCTGCTTGGCACAGGCATTATAAACTTGTTCCTGGGTCGTATTAGGAGGCAACACTCTATCGAAGACATAGGGCTTCCCTTGCTGCAAACAGAAGAGAAACTCAGTAAGATAAAGAAGATATAAAACAGTTGATAGACCCAATTTAATAAAGCACCCTGAAAATGCACCGTTTGCTACAAAGGAAGCCATTCACTGCAGTGGAGAGGACAGGATTCTGTTGACTAAAAGGATGTGACATCTCGTGTGCTCCAAACCCGTCTTTTCTCTAGCTGGCAAGTAACACCCAGCATATGTGTCCTGTGTGTTCACATTTGGGTCAGCAGCTACACTTGCAGGAAACAACAAGCTGAAATATCACCGATTGAAAGCCGATTATTTTCTCCCTCTCCTAGGAGCCAAGGGGGAATTGCCACATAAATATTTGCCAAGGATTCGCTGTTCGTGACTGCAAACGAGCGAAAGCTGCGGTGTGAGCAACAGGAATCAGAGCTGGAGGAAGCAGGAGTCTGCAGGTCCTGCAAGCTGCCTGCTGCTGAGAGCAGGGGGGCCCAGCACAGCCCCAGCACACTACCAGCTCCTTTGGCAGAAACAGCTTGGTTTCATTTCTATGTTAAACATGCAAATGTGTGTTGGTAAAACCATAGGTTAGACCCAAACCGGGCGGCCCGGTCAGATTGTTGCCCTAAGCTTGTATTTTACCCAGAAATTGTCATGATTTTCACCCTTAGCACCAAAAACAGGATGCCAAGTGGAAAAAGCTCCAAAATGACACTTTGAATAGGGCAGTGACCATTTCAGGGTGCAAAACACCAGTGTCTCACCCCAGACACTGAGCTGCTCTCCTTCCCAGGTGCCAGCAGGACTGACACCTGGTCACATACCCACAGACATGCAGTGCAGCACTCCCTGCACACACACTGCCAGAAGATTTTGATTCCTTTACTGGTTACAAGAGAAACACGTATTAGCAATCCTAAAAATAGGTTTGCATGACACTTAAAAGGCCAATCAATTCTTCAGGCTCCCTCCAACTCCACAACAAACAAGACATTTGCATTTAAAATGCAATTCCTTTACACACTAAGCGGACCTGTAAGATCTTTCTCATCTCCCATCAAAGCCTGTGATACTTCCCTTCAAAGACATGACACCTGCTCCAAGAACATCACCAGGGCTTCAAAGCCAACTGTGAGGTGGCTGGATACCTGAGGTAGGAGCCTCATTCTGCTGAGCCAACGTGCCATCACCACCATTCACAGGCAGCTGTTCAAACATTCTGCTCAATTAGCCATTTTTGTCACACTTTGATTTCACTTCAAGCAGATGACAAGCTCACATCTGCCTGCTCCTTCAGCTCGGGGATGTAACTGCCAGGGGGGAAAAGACAGAGGTGTTTGCCTGCAATGTGTGTTCTTCATTCACGTTTCATCCCAGAACTTTGGATCTCAAAGATAAAGTGGCAACTTACAAATCCTTTAGTAAAGAATTCATGGTCTTGTGAGTGAACATTGGGCCATTAAAGCACCCCACTTGGTAAGACACAAGCCCACAGGGGTGACTCAGTCTGACATGCCAATGCAGCCCCAGGCCCCTCCCAGGAGAGCAGTGGGACTGCTGGGAGCATCCAGCTGGCACCCACCCCAAACTCTGTCCCTCCAGCTTCCCACGGACAGTGCACATGGTGTGGCTCTCAGCTAGACAAAGCTCCCTGTTCCCTGGCTGAGGAGGGCTGCCCAGCCCTGCTGAAACTGTTCTGGAACAATTTCTCAAATTGACTTTTTACCTACTTCCCCTCATTTTGCTTATTCCTAGTGCAAGAAGCAAAAACCCACACAGACACACAACCTCAGCCATCCACTTATCCCATTCATTTCCTTCATGCTTGACTTGAGGCTTATTGCTAAGCAATGTGAGAGAGCAGCAGAGAGTGATGCCAGAACCTCATCCTACCATGGCAAACGCAGCACTCCAGGCAAACATTGCTCTGGTGCAATCAATCCAGCTCTTCTAAGCCCTCAACAAGTCTAATATCAGAGAGCTCCCAAAAACAATCCCATCACAAATGCACTGCACACAGCTGAAAGAGCCACTGGCTGCAGCTGTTACTTATCTGCCCAAGTGAAAAGCTATTAAATGTAAAGCAGCAATTCACAAACATGCTACCTACGTCAGATTTCTGCCTAGGGTTTGTTCTTTCTGGGAAGCAGAAAGACTGGAACACTCATCACTGATATCTGAAGGAAATAGCACCAAGGATCACAAAGCACCTGCCACGAATCACTCAAAGGAGACGGATCCATTATCCAAGCAGCACTTACTGGTTTTTGGGGAGGTTTCTTGGGACTACATCTCCACGTTGATCTTGGACAAAGACAACCCAAGGCTCATGTTCCTTTCCACAAAGGAGAGTTTGATGAGTGGACACAGGCTGTCCTGGTAATCCTCAGTTTGAGAGTTTACACCACTTTTGCTCTACTACTGCTTCTCCCCTGCCCTAAATCCTCTCAGTCCTGCTCAGCCCTCTTCTCCCTACCTACACTGCCAGCTGCACTCCTGGCTCCTTAGGCTCCTCATCCTCCTTCCACTTAGTTCAGAGGTTCCTGCTTGGGTTCCTGACGTTGGAGAAATGTCGAGCACCTCCTGTGTCACCCCACTCCCCTTGTTCAGCTTCCTGACCCTTCCATCCCACCAGCTCTCCCTGGACCATTCCTCGCCACCATCTCCACCCAGTTCCAGGCTCCTGGAGGAAGTCTGTGACCTTCATAGACTCTCCCACTGGGTTGTCCCTGACCCCTTCCACACCTGAGCAGGGCAGCTCACAGACTCTGCACATGTCCCACAGGAGCTCACCCCCAGCTTATGGGGCCTGGAAGAGACCAGGACACCTTAGACAGGTGCCCAGCTACAAGGAAAGCTCTGGCAATTCAGCTGCCAAAGCTGCTGAGATAGAAGATTTTTCTCTGGCTCAAACGACAGTTTTGGGGTTTGTTTTGGTTTTGGTGTTATTGTTATAAGCTCTTTTGCCAGACTTTCCTCAGAGGTAACAAAAAGCAAACCCATCCTAGAAAGGCAACAAGCTGGCAGATCTAAAGGTTTTGCTCCAAAACAGAGAGACAGGATGAGCAAGGCATGAACAGCACCTTGTTTTCAGCATGTCCCCAAGCAGTACCTTTTCCCTTTATTGTCATCAGAAACAACACAACTGATTTCACTCTTTTTCTCAAATGTAACTCCATTTGAATTAAGCACCACAAATCAGGAAGATTTCAGCTTTATTCAAGCAAAGCAATAAGCAGCTAGACATAAAATGTTCTTTTCTGAGTGAATGCTGCTTTATTTGTGCACCTCCTCCATACATTATTTTTCAGCCTCTCTCATTATATGCAGCCTATTCTCTCTCATCCATAAATCACCTCTTCCTGCCTATGCCATTACTTCCTACAGGCCCCCTGACAATCTGTTCCATTAACTTCTGCCACTGCTGCATAATGGCTGGGATAAGTGCTTCGATCCACCCACACAATTCCTGTTGAAGTTGTATTGACAGCAAGACAGACTCTGTTCTGGCCCTTCGACAGCACAAAGAATGCAATTCCTATCTATTGCCAGTTATTATTTCACCAGCTTTATGCTTAGAGTTTCCTACTGAGTTTACAGCTCTGGCATTTAAAAAAACTTGAGGGTCTCACCAGCACAAAAAGGATCTTAATCATAAATGCACGTGCTACCAAAGCATCATTTTAGAAGAAGTATCTCAGAGCAGTGCTATCACTAGAAGCTAATTTGGTCTCAATTACAGATACCAAATACATTTCCTGTTTAAAAATTTAAAAAAAAACCCTCAACTCTCCTATATCCCACATAAACAAGAAATGAGAACTGCTCAGTGCTTAGAGCTGCATGCTAAGAATAAGGAGCCTTAATGCAATTTCATTATTAATTCTCTGTGATCTTAATCTAGACAGACGTTCAGGGTGCCTCCACCAGTGTATCTGCAGGTTGTGAAGCAAGATGACAAGTTTCAGGCATCTGAGTTTGGAGGCAGAATCAACAGTCCAAGGTCCATCCCCAAAGTGCCTTATAAAATCCATGGGCAAGGTGAGATGGCTTAGAACAGAATTTCCAACAGCCAGCACGTAGCTCAGAGCTACAACAGCTGGACAGGAAGAAGAGAGCACACAAAATGCTGGGCCTCTTTGCTTTCGGGGGGCTGCAAGGAGACCCATGAGTCTCTAATGAGAAACTACAGCCTGAAGCCATCCCCTAAAATCAGAGATACCATCCAGATTTCTCCCCAGTTGCAAGTTTGTTCTGTTTGAGCAGACGACAGCTGTGAGCAACCTACTGACAACAGGCAGGTGTGAATATGCCTCCTGCAGTTCTGGCCCCAAAGATCCAAGCTCTGCTGATGGTGACAGTGAAGCTCATTCATAATTGCCTTCAAATCACCAGGCCAGTACATCTCCTCACATGGTTTGCACCTCCTGGAAGGTGTCTTTGCTTGCCAGGGGGTTGGAACTAGATTTAAGGTCTCTTCTAACCCAAACTATTCCATGATTCTGTGATCCTTGAGGGGGACATGGTTTTGAATGAGACTCAAGAAGATGTCACGCACTCATTCTTGAAGGACAGAAAAACATCCATCAGTGCATCCAAGGCTCACGTTCAGACATCCCAAGAAGTGCAGAAGCACAGAGGCAGGTGGGAGACTCAGATGGCAGATTCCAGGAAGAAGCACCCTGACAGGGCTGGCCCTGGAGAGCATCTGCTCCATGGTCCAAGGGTGAAAGCCATCAAAACAGCTCCTAGGATCACCTCTCAGACTGCTCTGGGGTACAGGACACTTACTGGGATGCAGGGGAAGACTATTTCAGTTTAGCACAAGAGTTAGGGGATGATTAGGGGAGGACAAAGGCAAGGAAAGGAAGAGATGTGGGTGATTTGAGGAGGAACAAACATGGGATGAAGGGAGACAAAAGCACCAGCCTTGTGAGGAAGCTGTTGGTCACTATGCTTGTCCAGCCATGCCCCACACCTCAGCAGCACAGTCCCATCTTTTTACTAAATTCCTTTTAAACTCTTTTTCTAGGTGAGGGAGCTCATTCTGTGTGCACACATGTGTATGGGGGTCTAAGCACCAGCTACCCAAGAGGGACCACAGGTCACAAGGTCCATGTGTCCCTGCTGCCAGCTGCATTTCTGTGGGAGGAGATCTGGAAAGGGGCTCAGCCTCAGCTGGATTTGGCTCCTCCTTACAGCTGATGGGGCACTCAGCTGAGATGGGCAGAGAGATCAGGTCCCTCTCATTCATCTTAGTCATCAGGCAGGAGTGTTTCCTTTCTCCACGTCCTGGTCAAATAAAGGCATCTCCTTTTCCCCTATAAAAGGGGTACATCAGCCATGCAATCATCTGCCTCAGGAAAACTTCTGGGGCCTGCAGAAACAAAACTGTGCCAAATCACACAGCTCAGCTTATCAGATGAATTGTTTGCCAAACTGTGACTCTGCTGAAACTCTGCCACTTTATTCTGGTTCTTTATTCAAGTCAAAGAGCTTTACTGGTGCAGCTGGGATGAATGATCTATGTGAGGGTTTAACACACCCTACAAGATGCTGCTGCCAGGACATACAACAGATGAGAACACAGGTAATAGAATCCTGTGATATGTAGGAGCTTAATTAACAAGAAATTATTTCCCAGCTAGTTGTCACTGGCACAAGTGCTCTTGTAGGAGAGGTTTTATAAATAAAATATACAGAATTGCAGGCCTGGAAGACAGAATTTTTCAAAGAGCAGAAAGCAAACTATTACCAGCAGTAAGTCAGTACTTCCGTTCTGAGTCTCTTCCTTAGAAGGTGGCATAAAACAGATATTTCTTCTTTCTAGCCTGTAAGAGTAGGAATTAAAAGTCTTCTCTCCCTTTGAAAATGCAGAGGCCATATTTACTGAACACTGCATCAGACTCGCTCCGTTTGCAAGCAGGATAGGTAGCTGGCCCTGCAAACTTCCCCTGGAATCAGAACTTATTTGATACAAGGAATTCTTTTCTCCACAAGTGATAGAGATTCTGCAAGTCCAAGGTTGTTTCTATCTTGCTGATAAGGCACAATAAACAGACTCTACCCCATCCTCCTGAAGCCACCTATCTCTAGTAACGATTGGAAAAATGAGGATTAAAGACAGAGAGAGAAAATAAATGCATGTTAGCAAAACAGTTACATTTAGGTATTCTATTTTCCCTTTCTTCAGTCATTCTAAGGAAATGCAACTGCCACTCTATGCATTTTCTACATTAGCTTGCCCTCTGAAAACCTGGAGGTAGGAGCACCTCATCTAGTGGATGAGAATTCAGAACACCTGGGATTAAAAGAAAAAAAGGAAACTATATTCAGAATCACCTAAATTCACTACATGGTCAAACTAAGTTCTCCAGATGGAATTCTTAAATCTTAGTAACACTCCTAAAACTCAGCAGCCATGTATGAACAGGACTGCAGAGCAATTTGAG